CAGTTCCTTCCCCAGCCTTCGGGTTGCCTTTGGCAGAAACCTTTTCATCGCAAAGCAGGGATTAAGTTGCTTTCTTAGCCCTTCTAATTAACTCTTGGCCCTTCTGTTAACTCTTGTAACAGAAAGTCCCTGCCGCACCTCTGTGACGTACCTGCATCTTCTCGCACCTGCCTTGGCAAGGAAAGGGAAAAGCCGGGATGTTTCCTAGTGTGCGGTGTTGCTCATTTGCATGAAATCCCGGTGGCTGCCTTTTTCCAATCACGCTTCTAGCTGCCAGCTACCTTTTAAGTGGCTCCAAGTTCCCCTCCTGAGAGGTGTCTGGCTGCTAGATGTTTACAGAGGAATCTGGGCCTGTGGACCCACGGCGACCTCCACACAGCATCCTTTCGTGAACGCGCACCTGGGGCAAGTCCTCACCTGGTTCCGAGGTCTGACGCCTGCTCAGAACAGAAGCGGCCGCCCCAGACACTGGCTCCGTTGGCAACACATGCTTTCTTTGAAGGGGCTTTTGGAGTGACAGTGCCAGACTGTGCTGCAATGTAACTTTGAAAAACATCTTAAAACAGAACATGGCAAGGCGGTTGCTTTTTAAATTTTTTTTTAATTTGTGTTTTCTCCAGTTTTTAAATTAGAACAAACTTCATGAGAAAAACTTGGGAAAATGTAGAACACTTGAAAAGGGAAGAAAAGTCACTGAGTCCTCTGCCCTGAGGACAGTCATGCTTATGCATTCGATGTCTTTCTTTTCTGCTTGTTCTTTAGGGATTTTTAAATATTATCTGACGATTCTAAACGTAAGGTCGTTTGTCTTTTGTTTTTCATTCAACGTTTTCACTTTCCCATGTAGTATAAACTCACTGTCAGCTGTTTCCGTGGTTTCAATCATCCTGTGAGTTTATCCCTACAATTTATTGAATCCTTATGGTTCCACTTTTTTCCCTATTATAAAAAAATTCCTTGATGAACTTCTTGATTTAGGTTCCATGCCTTGTTCGAATTCCCAGAAGTGGGATTTTTTTTTTTTTCACCAAAGGCCAGGAATATTTTTATGGCCCTGCATCTGTGTCACTACACTGCATTCCCAAGGGGCCAATATGTATGCTTTTGCCGCAGTTTTTTCTTTTATTGTGGTAAAAGACACATAACATAAAATTTATTACCTTAACCATTTTTAAGTGTGCAGTTCACTGGTATTAAGTATATTCACATTGTTGTATTATTGTTGTATATTCACCACCATCCACCCACAGAATTTTTTCATCTTCCTAAACTGAAATTCTGTCCCCATTAAATACTGTTACTCTCTCCCCTCACCCACCATTCTACTTTCTGTCTCTATATATTCCACTCCTCTAGGGGCTTCATATAGGTGGAATCATATAGTGTTTGTCTTTTGATGACTGGCCTAATTTGCTTCACATCATGTCCTCAGGGTTCATGCATGTTGTAGCATGTGTCAGAATTTCCTTCCTTTTTAAGGCTGAATACTATTTCACTGGGTGCATGGACCACATTTTGTTTTTTAATTAATTTATTTATTTTTGGCTGCGTTGGGTCTTCGTTGCTGCGCGTGGGCTTTCTTTAGTTGTGGCACGAGGGCTCAGTAGTTGTGGCTCGCGGGCTTAGTTGCTCCACGCCATGTGGGATCTTCCTGGACCAGGGCTTGAACCCGTGTCCCCTGCATTGGCAGGCGGATTCCTAACCACTGCACCGCCAGGGAAGTCCCTGGACCACATTTTGTTTATTCGTCATCTGTTGATGGACACGTGGGTTGCTTCTACGTCTTGGCTATTGTGTGTAATGCTGCTATGAACATGTGTGTCCAAATATCTCTTCAAGACCCTGCTTTCAGTACTCTGGGGTCTATACTCAGTAGTGGAATTGCTGGATCATATGGTAAGTCTATTTTTAATTTTTTGTGGAACCGCCAAACTGTTTTCCAAAGCAAATGCACCATTTTACACTCCTACTAGCGGTGCACAAGGGTTCCAACTTTTCCACACCCTCACCAATGCTTGTCATTGTTATCTGATTTTTTAAAATATATTTATTTATTTATTTAATTTATTTATTTTGGCTGTGCCGCATCTTAGTCGCGGCATGCATGTGGGATCTAGTTCCTCGACCACGGATTGAACCCGGGCCCCCTGCATTGGGAGCGTGGAGTCTTAACCACTGGACCACCAGGGAAGCCCCTGTTATCTGTTTTTTTAAAAAATAATAGCCATCCTAATGGATGTGAGGACCAATTTTTAAAAATATATGTAACAGCTTTATGGAGATATAATTTACTGTACAATTCACCCGATTCAAGCATACAATTCAGTGCTTTTTAGTATTATTCATAGAATTGTATACCCATCACCACAATCCATTTTTGAACATTTTTATCATCTCCAAAGAAACCCTGTGCCCATTAGCAGTCACCTCCCCCTGCCAAGCGTTCACCCAACACCCCAGGCCCTGAAAACCACGAATCTACTTTCTGTCTTTCTGGATTTGCCTATTCAGGACATTTAATATAGGTGAAATCATACATTATATAGTCTTTGGGATTAGCTTCTTTTATTTATCACAATATTTTCAAGGTTCATCCACATTGTAGCATGTGTCAGTACTTTATTCCTTTTTCTTGCCAAATAATATTCCTTTGTATGATATACCACGTTTTATTTATTCATTTATCTGTTGATGAACATTTGAGTTGTTTCCATTCTTTGCATTTTATGAGTACTGCTGCTCTGAACATTGGTGTACAGGTTTTTGTGAGGACGTATGTTTTCATTTCGCTTGGGTACACGCCTAGGAGTGAGATTGCTGAGTCATGTGGTAACTCTGTGTTTAACATTTTGAGAAACCACCAGACTGCTTTCCAAAGCAACTGCACCGTTTTACATCTTCACCAGCTGTGTACGAGGCTTCCGATTTCTCCACCTCCTTGCCAACACTTATTTTTGTCTGTCTCTTTTATTTTATCCATCTTAAGGGAGTGAAGTGGTATCTCATTGTGGCTTTGGTCTGGCTAATGATGTTGGGCATCTTCTCATGTGCTCATTGACCATTGATATATCTTTTTTGGAGAAATGCCTGGTAGATCCTTTTTTCTGTTTTCCATTTTTAAATTGGGTTATCTGTGGTTTTTTTTTTTTTTTTTTTTTTTTTTATTTTGGGTTTTTTGTGGTTTTTTTTTTTTTTTTTTTTTTGGCTGCGCTGCACAGCTTGCGAGATCTTAGTTCCCCGACCAGGGATCGAACCCGTGCCCCCTGCAGTGAAAGCGTGGAGTCTTAACCACTGGACCTCCAGGGAGTTCCCGGGTTATCTGTCTTTTTATTTTTGAGTTGTAAGAATTCTTTAAATATTCTAGATAAATCCCTTAACAGATTTAATGCTTTGCAAATATTTTCTCCTATTCTGTGGGTTGGCTTTTCATTTTTCTCAGTGGTGTCTTTAGAAGGACAAATTTTTTGATTTTGATGACGTTCAATTCATCTGTTTTTTTTCCTTTGTCAGCTGTGCTTTTGGTGTCACATCTAAGAAGGCTTTGCCTAACCCAGGTCATGAAGATTTACTCCTATATTTTCTTGTAAGAATTTTATAGATTTAGCTCTCACTTTGGGCCGAGATGTTTAAACAGAGGATTGAAGTGACTTCTCCTTAGTGCGTAAGGGAGACTGTGGACAGTGACAGAGGTGGCAGCAGCGGGAAAGGCCTCCTGGGGTATCTGGGACCAGGGCAGAACAGCCAGAGGGAAGAAAGCAGATGTGGGAAAGGGTGGAGAGAAGTTCGGTGCTGCTCTGGGGAATGGGAGGGCGCCCTCTCTTGGTCATTCATTCGTTCATTAGTCCATCGGTTTTTCTGCTCTTAGGCGTTGCTTGCTGACACCTGTCGGGGCAGGTGAGGATGTAGGCGGCTGTCCTCCCCACCCGCCCTGCTCCCCAGCCGCATGCCCCTTCCCATCCCAGCCTCCCAGCTCTGAGTAACTGTGGTGGATCTGGAGCCATTGTGAGCGCTCCTGCGGCATAAAGGTGGCAGCTGGGCAGAGAGGAGGGCAGGGTGGGGCCTGAAGATCCCACACCTTGACGTCAGCAGGGTGGGGGAGGGGAGCAGGACTAAAGCCGATGGAGAGGCCACTGGGAGGGGGGGGATTGAGCAGAGGGGGCCGAGGAGGGGACCCAGGGTGGGCTGGAAGGAGCAACCCAGGAGCAAGACCCAGGAGGCAGGGCCAGGAGTGTGGGCTGCACGGAGGCCTGGGGAGGGGGCTTCCAAGTAACAGCGATGATCCATGGCCCAGGAAGTAAGGCAAGGCGTGGTCCCCTGGCTGTGACCACAAGGGGCTCTTGGTTGCAAGAGCAGTTTCTGTCGAGTGACCCAGAGAAGCTGCACTGCAGTGGACTGAGGGTTAAATTGGGAGATGAGACCATGGGGCCAACAGATACAGACTTCTCTTAAGAACTTTGGATCAAACAGAAGTTAAATGGAAGCAGGAGAAAGAGAGGAGTTCAGGGGGGATTGTGTTAGGATTGCGGGGGGGGGCTTGAAACAGGCATGTCTCCAGACTCCAGGGGTCTAAAATCACTGGGAGGGAATGAGACCAAAAGGCACAGGTGGAAGGTTTGGTTTTTTGGAGTGTAGTAAAAGAAATGACTTTCTAATGGTAGAGCAGGCTTCTTCAGGATGTGGCAACATCCCATTGCTGGAGATAGTTGAGCAGAAAGAGATGGCTGCCTGTCAGGGGTGTTACTCTGCAGATTTCTGTGCAGGGAGACAAACGGGCCTAGTTAAGGGATGGCAAGTACTTGGGAAGCATGCCAGCATTGTCCTCTCCTGTGTCCTTGACAGGCATCACTAATTAATCATGGCACACCCAGCACGGTGCTCCAGGCAGCCTCTAACGATCCATCCAAGATAGTATACGCAGCACAGCCGTTCTGCTCTCCCTGGACCAGGATTCTGACGCTCCCTTCCCTTTTGTAAAATGGGTCCACGTCTTCCCACTGCAGGGAAAGCTTACGAGATCACCTACGTGCGGCTGAAGTTCCACACCAGCCGCCCTGAGAGCTTCGCCATCTACAAGCGCACCCGGGCCGGCGGTCCCTGGGAGCCCTACCAGTACTACAGCGCCTCCTGCCAGACGACCTACGGCAAGCCCGAGGGCCAGTACCTGCGCCTCGGCGAGGACGAGCGCATGGCCTTCTGCACCTCCGAGTTCAGCGACATCTCCCCGTTGAGCGGGGGCAACGTGGCCTTCTCCACCCTGGAGGGCCGGCCCAGTGCCTACAACTTTGAGGAGAGCCCCGTGTTGCAGGTCAGAGAGGAGTGGGGCTGGGCGGGGGCCGGGTTGGGGCAGGGGCTGTGCTGGACACTCAGGTCCAGGGGACCACAGGGAAGTCTAAAAGGGCAGGACGACACAGGGGACTGTGAGACCTCCCATGGTTTTCAGATTTGAAACAACAGAAGCTTTTGTTGTATCTGAATCTTTTGTGGATGACTGATAATGAAATAGATGGAAGAGGGTGCCCTGTGACAGCCACCAACTCAGCTGACCCCTTCCTTAGGCAGGTGTGGAAACTGAGGCCCGGAGTGGGGAAAGGACTTCCCAAGGGCATACATGGGTTGGTGGAAGGGCCCAGCGCAGACCCTGAGGGTCCTGACTCCTAGCTGGAGCTTCTGCTAGAACTCCCTGCTGGGAGCCCCGCTTCCCCACTCTGATGGATGACGTTGCCTGCCCTGTGTTTCTCCAAGGGCTGTGATGGGGATAAAAGGGAAAACACGAAAAGAACGTGAGTTTGGAGCCATAGAGTCCTGGGATCTGTGCTGTCAGGCAGAGCTACCCAGCAGAACTTCCTGCAGCGACAGAAATGATCCCTAGCAGCACCCTCCGGTATGGTAGCCACGAGCCACGTGTCTGTCTGTAGAACACATGGGATGTGACTAGCACGACTGAGGAATTGAATTTTCATTTTTATTTCATTTTAATGAAGTTTAAACAGCCACATGGGGCCAGCAGCTGCCACGTTGGACAGCCAACTATAAAGTGACCAGCACAGTGCGTGTCCTAGAAGAGATGCTCATTCACGCTTTGAAGATAAGGGTTGTGGTAGCTCACCCGTCTCATCCTCGTGGCAGAGAGCATGGCAGGCTTGTGGCTGTGTGCATCCATACAGGGCCCCCATCCTGCCCACCTGGGTCTACTCAGCTTTGTGGCCCTACCAGTATAAGCACCCACGCATGTCCACATTTCTGTGCGTCAGTGACGGTTCATCTGTGGATGTGGTGGTCTATTTGATGTTTCGGGTTATTGGACGGCCCTCTAGTCCACTTCCCTGCGTTCTGACAGACCTCTGCCGAGAAAAACTGCTATCTTCTTCCCTCGACATATTCAGAGCATTTCCTTTGCCTGTCTGGGATAATGAGGGGGCTGGGATTAGAATCCCGTTTGTTTCTGGAGGGAACACTGAGGCCCAGAAAGAGGTTGTGCCCCACCCAGGCTGTCCAGCACAAGAAAACACGGTGTCAGCTGGCTTGAGGTCCCCAAGACCACCCTCAGCTTCAGTGATTCACTGGAAGGACTCACAGAATTCAGAAAAGCCGCTGTACTCACGGTGACGATTTATTACAGTGAAAGGATACAGACTGAAACCAACAAAGGGAACAGATACATGGGACAGGTCTGGGAGAGACCAGGCATGGGGCTTCTGGGTGTCCTCTCCTAGTGGAGTCGTGGGGACAGTGCTGATTTCTCCCAGCAACTGCATGTGACAAGTGCATTGCCAACCAGGGAAGCTCACCTGTGCCTTGGAGTCCAGGGTTTTTATTGGGGGCCAGCCACATGCACATGGCGGACAGCCTATGGCTGACCTTGATCTCCAGCCCCTCCAGAGAGCTGGTGGATTCTGTGTGGCCCAAGGCCTCCCCATAAATCACATTGTCAGCATTGACCATCTGGGGTGGCCCAGGGCCCCAGGTGAACAAAGTTACTCTTATCAAGGAGGACATTCTGAGGGCTTGCAGGTGACCCCCCAGGAGTGGGGGGCAAAGGTCAGAACTCTCTCAGGCAAGGTTAATCCTTTCTGGCACAAAGTCTCATCTCCAGACGCCCAGGCCCTGCTTATCCCATTAAAAACGTTCACTTGTGGGCTTCCCTGGTGGCACAGTGGTTGAGAGTCCGCCTGCCGATGCAGGGGACACGGGTTCGTGCCCAGGTCTGGGAGGATCCCACATGCCGCGGAGCGGCTGGGCCCGTGAGCCATGGCCGCTGAGCCTGCGCATCTGGAGCCTGTGCTCCGCAACGGGAGAGGCCACGACAGTGAGAGCCCCGCGTACCGCAAAAAAAAAAAAAAAAAAAAAAAAGTTCACCTGTGCTCATCACATCATTCTGTTGAAAATGACAGTTTCTTCTCCATGGGGCTCCAAGCTCTGTAGATTAGAAAACGTCGGCCAAGGGCATCTGAAGACAAGCACAAGGGCGGGGCACCTGCTCTGCCTGCATCTGTGCTATCTGGACAGAGGGGCCCCCTGACTTGTTGCCGCTTATGTCCTGGATGCTGTCCCTAACGGGAAAACAGCCTTTTCAGAAATGAGGTCCCTGCAGCCCCCAGGCAGAAGGACAGAGAAGGTCAGAGAAGGACAAAAAAAGCCAAGCCCCCCCTCCCCTTCTCTCCCCTCTGGGCACCCCCAGGGTGGGGCTTCCTCTAAGGACGTGGAGCGTTGGGGGTGTGGGGTAACGAAGGATGTGTCCATGCGGCTGCTGTGTCTTGGGTCCCTCTGTCCTCCGTGGGGGCCAAGGACCTTGGGGAGAAGGCTGACCCTCTCTGGGCTGCTTGGAGACGAAGCTCCTGCCTGCCGCTTCTGCAGTTAACGCTGCATCCTGGCTCCCACGTCTGTCCAGAGTCAACCCGAGAGCCCACTTGTAGTTTTAGCTGGGCCACTGCAAGTTGCACGAGCTCCTTGCCTCTGCGTACTGGGGCTCCAGTTTGCCCCCAAAGTTACCTCTAAGGCATCGGGGAGTCACCCGTACAATTTGGGCTAAGGGAACAAATTCCCCTTCTCTCTCCCAGCTCCCTTGCTGGTGTCTCAGGGAGATTTTGATGCTGTTCCTATCACCATTGTCTTCAAGACTGATGGAGCAGGTCATAGGCTGCAAAGCAGATGCAGGAACCCAAAGAGGGGTCACTGCAGGCCGAGACCTTGGGCAGGTCATTGCCCTCTGGGCTCCATTAGTATGATGAGGGCGTTGGAGTAGATGCAGGAAGGCAGGCTACCTAGTAGCGAAAGCTGGGACCCTGGGGTCAGATAGACCCGAATCCCAGCTCTGCGTGTACCAGCCATGCAACTAGGAAGCAGAGTACTTACCCTCACTGATCCTCAGTCTTCTCATCTGTAAAGCATGGGTAAGAATAACACCTCCCTGTGGGGTTATGGTGAAGACCTGAGCCATAACCACACAATACGCGTCAGCTACTGCACCTTCCAGCTTGGACATCAGCTGGTTTGGGTTCTCTAGGGGCACTTTTTCTGCAGAAAGAAAAGACTCTTAGACCATCAGTTGTGCTCTGCTGGGTTCCCACCCCGGGCCTTAGCCCCTTTGCTCCTCAGCTGCTTCAGGGACCAACCAGCAGCATCAGTACCACCTGGGCACGTGTGGAAATACAGAGTCTCAGGCCCCACCTCTGATCAGAAGCTGCATTTTAACCTGATCCCTGAATGCACACTGACGTTTGGGAAGTGATTCAGGGAGTGACTCCCCAGAGGTTTACAAACTCAGCTGAGCGCTGAGGTCCCCTCTGAAGCTTTCTGGTCCTGGACCCCTCCCTGGCTGAAGCATCCTCAGGTAGAGGCCCTGGGCCCCAGGCCACGGGCTCGAGAGTTGCTGAGCCCAAGGGGATCGGAGAGGCCCGCTGGCCTGAGTCACGCTGGGGTGAGAAGTCAGACTTTGCCAGTTCATTTTCTGTCCTGATGAGCCTGATTGCTAAACCAGCAGCTGCTGGGCTGAATTAAAATGCTGGAGCTAACATTCAGCTGGAGCTGCCTCTGACTATAACAGCAGGCAGATGAAAATGTCACCGTTCACGTGGGCTCTCCCCCACCCCCCACCAGCTCTTCCAGGGGGAAGCCTTTCATTCCGCCACCAGCAGGTATTTATCGAGTGCCTGCTGTGCACCCGGCAGAGCCCGGGCTGGGGATGCAGTGAGAACCAGGGGCCCTGAGTCCTTGTTCTCTTGGGGCTGTGTTCTGGTGGAACAGATGTCACCTGGGGCAGGTGCCTTGTCTGTGGGAGCCTGATACTTGAAACGTGAGAAGCCTGTAAACCCAGGGCCCACCCCACGCCAGGGCGCTGGGACGCATCTTCCCTCAGCTGCCCTCTAGAGCAGGGGTGCGGTCCCGCTGAGGAGTCAGGTAACCTGCGTGACACGGTTTTAGATGGGCTGCTCTGGCGCCTCGACCACGTGCTGGATTCCGTGCCCCGCCGCTGACACTGGCCGTCCTCCAGCACCCTCCTGGAGCCGACATTATTCCTTGTCCTATTTCACAGATGGGGAAATGGAGGCTCTGAGACATTGAGCAAATTCCCCAAAGTTGCACAGTTAGGAAGGGGCCGGGCATCCAGCTTGGTGTGACCCAGAAGCACAGGCTCCTTATTTCTGCAGTGTTCTCGGAATTTGTCTGTGTCTGGCGTGTCCCTGTGTCCCAGAAGATGCCCCGGGGAGCCGGCAGACACTCAGGAACCTGCTGATGGAGCCCTTTCCCTTGCATCTTGTCCCCCAGGACTGGGTCACCAGCACCGAGTTCCTCATCTCCCTAGACCGGCTCAACACGTTTGGGGATGACATCTTCAAGGACCCCAAGGTGCTGCAGTCCTACTACTACGCTGTGTCCGACTTCTCCGTGGGCGGCAGGTAGGCGGGAAGCAGGGCAGCGGCCGGGACGCTGGACGGGGTGGCTGCCACGTGGGCTCACCTGGTGGCTACCGTGGAGGGTAAAGAAACCACTTCTGGTGCCGCAGGGGGGGAAAAGAGCAGGAGCCTGGTTCCCGGGCCCGGCGTTCGAGGCCTCCGTGACCCGCCTGCCTCCCGCCTCCCAGCCCCGTTCCTGCTGCTTTTCCCACCTCAGCTGTGTTTCCGCTGCCGTTGGCGGGACACCCCAGCCCTTTGCACCTGTGGTTTCCTCTGCCTGGTGGTCCGTCCCCCTTTCTTTTCTTCCTTCCATTTTTTTTGCCTCTGACAGTACATTCATTCACGCCACATGTGCCCGTGTGGGGCAATGTTCCACACTCTCGTCTAACACGTAGAACCTGCTTAAATTTCCAGTCGGACCACTGTTCTGTGGGACAAATGAAGCTGGTTAACAGTGACCATAAGCAGGCGCGGGACCCCAGGCTTTCAAAGCTTTGCTTCTTTCGTCAGCGCTCATGAGCTTCTAACTGATGGAGCCCATCAACCCCATTCTTCCCCAAATCTTCCGGTAAACTTGGGTAGAGTAGGGCTTCCTGGGGACCCAAGCATGTTTGTTTGTTTGTTTGTTTTGCGGTACGCGGACCTCTCACTGTTGTGGCCTCTCCCGCTGCGGAGCACAGGCTCCGGACGCGCAGGCTCAGCGGCCATGGCTCACGGGCCCAGCCGCTCGGCGGCATGTGGGATCTTCCCGGACCGGGGCACGAACCCGTGTCCTCTGCATCGGCAGGCGGACTCTCAACCACTGCGCCACCAGGGAAGCCCCTAAGCATGTTTAATAAGGTTTTGAGGCATCTCCAAACAGTACGAACGGTTCAGGCCACTCCAAAGCCCCACGGCCAGTGACCCAGACAGGTCACCGAGGAGGGAGGCACCGCACTTCTGCCCCTTCTCATGTGAGGAGAGTCGGGCTGTTCCGTCGGGACCCCTGGCCCTGGCCTACATACTCCTGCAGCTTCGATCGGTGCACACTGTAGTTTAAGCATCTCGCCTCTCCAAGAAGCAGGGGCCACCCTGTGCACACGTGGCCACTTGGTACTGGGCCCTCCAGGCACAAATGACGTCTTCAATGTAAACACTCCCTCATCAGGCTCCTTCTTGGAAAGGAGAGAGGAGACAGATGTGTTCCCGCCCCAGGCAGACAGGAACCAGATCAGTCCCCAGTAATCATGTCGCACGCCCCAGATTAACAAGGATAGGAAGCCAGGGCAGGGTGTGCTGGCTGTCAGGGAGACCACCCTGCAGATGGGGACCCTGCGGGAGGTCAGGGGGACCACCCTGCAGATGGGGACCCGGCGAGGCTGGAGATGTGAGGGGCAAGCATCCCAGGTGGAAGAGCCAGCGTGTACGAGACCCAGGCTTGACGAACGAGGCAACAGCTCTGCAGCTGGAACAGGGGGCATAGAGACGGCCGGAAGATTGTCGGGGCCGTGGACCAAGTTTATGCAGTCAGTGGGAAGCTGCTGAGGATTTGGCCAGGGTAGGGACAGGGATAGATTTCTAAGACACCCCAACCCTTGCCATCACAGGGGGGCAAACAAGAGGAGAGAGAAGAAGCTGGTTGGGCAGAGCTGGTGGTAGGATGGGAGAAGTGTGGATCTGAAAGCTATTTAGGGTGGGAAGCCAGCTCCATGTGGGAGTGGTGGCCCATGGGGGTAGGGGGCGAGGGGCTTCCAAAATTCAAGGACGTTTAGGTGGCGTTCGGAGAGGTGAAGATATCTGGGAAGGGAGCACGGGCGCAACTGCCTACACGCAGGGTGTCTGCACCCTCTGGAGGCTGGCGCTCGGGAGTGAAGGGGAAATGGGGGGTGTCTGCGGGGGCCCCTCTGCTTCTCCTCCTCCCCTGCCACTCCCACACTTGATTCAGGTCAAACCGCCCGGGAGCAGGGCCTCTCCACGGATGGTGGATGGCGGTGAGCTGCAGCGTCTGCCATCAGGGGGCTTCAGGACAGAGAACATCCGGGCCCCAGCTGCCAAAGCCGGACCACCCTCAGGCCAGCAGCTGGCTGGGGGGCAGTGGCCCGGCAGCCTGTGTCCCACAGTGGCCTGTAGGACTTTCACTCTTTCCCTTGGGATCAGAGGGCTTTGTGGAGGAGGGAGTGTTGGCAATATCCCCTTGGGGCCGTGGGTGGTCCCTTGTCCCAAGACTGCCTGGTGCCCGCCTCACCCCTGCCGGAAGTTCTGGGCATTACCTGCCTACCCTGAGCTCCCAGGGAGACCAGGCGAGGAAACAGTGCTCTGTGACCTTCCCAAGCCCTGTGTCCCCAGTCCATGGGTACTGGCAGTGGCCAGAGGTTCTTCAACATCCACTTGGGACAGAGCGTGGAGCAGAGCTTATGGGGAGACACCAGGTGGCTGTAGAGGAGTGTCTAGGAGCTCAGGGTCTGCGTGGAGTAGGAGAGAACGGGGTTCAGATTCTAGCTCTGCCACGTAGCATTCATCACCTCATGGTCTGAGCCTCAGTTTCCTCATCTGTGCAATGTGCATAGTTATGGCCCCTCCTGCTGCAGTGGTGAAACTCCAGAGACATGATGTGAGCTGATTGCTCTGTTGGGGGCCGCTACAGAGGAAGGCTGGGAGCTGGAGCCATGGCCATCCTCTGTGTGCCTCAGCCTGGCCACCCGGGATGGGGGCGATGACCCCACCGGGTCAGGCTCAGCCGAGCACGCTGTGTGGCCCCCTGAGCACCTTTGTTCCTGCCTGATTCCACCTGTCTGACTCTGCGGGAGCGGGGGTGGGACAGGCCCAGGGCTGCCCTCAAAGGCACAGGCTCACTGGGGTCTTGAGATGAGCTGGGGGCTGTCCTGTGTAAGGCGCAATCTCCTTCTCATCCCTTTAGACACGAAGGAGGGGGCATGAGGCGCCTCCCTGGCTGCCTCCACCTCCCACCCACTGCCCTGAGAGCTGGCCCGCCCTCTAGCCAGGAGACTGAGATGACTTCTTCCTGGGTCCCCCTCGGCCCCTGGGTGTGGTGCCTTCAGTGGCAGCATCGAGAGCTTGACCATTACTAACTGGTGGCCTCGGGCAGCCTCTCTGCCTCGGTTCCTCCGTCTGTTAAATGGGATCATAGTGGGCTTGTGAAGATGCGATGGGTTTACACGTGTACAGAGCTCAGAACAGCCCATCGCGGTGGGTTCCGTTACTGTTGTCCCGGGCACACAGCAGGAGTTCAATAAAGCTCCGTAGCTGAGCAGTAGAATGAGGAGCTCACCCGAAGGCGGGGCTACCTGGTGATGAACCCCTTCTCCGCCGGCACCTCCCCAGCTTCCAGACACCCCCCACCCCCGTGTTCTTTTCCCAGGTGCAAGTGCAACGGGCACGCCAGCGAGTGTGGCCCCAACGAGGAGGGCCGGCTGGTCTGCCGATGCCAGCACAACACCGTGGGCACGGACTGCGAGCGCTGCCTGCCCTTCTTCCAGGACCGCCCGTGGGCCCGGGGCACAGCCGAGGCGGCCAGCGAGTGTCTGCGTAAGTGTCCTGGGACTTCGGTGGCCGGAGGCCGGGGGTGTAGGCCAGGAGACAAACTCCCCATCCCTGGCAGCGGGGCTGCTCCTGGGGGTCCTGGCCGCAGCTTTTGGGGCTCTAAATCCTGTGCAGGTATGAGGACGAGCTGAGGGGGGGGCTGGAGGGGGGACGTGATCCTCCGTCCTCACCCCCCCAGGCGGCCCCTCAGACCCAGTCTCCCCAGGTAGAGGCATGCGTGGCAGGAGGGCTGAGAAGGACCCCCAACTTGTTCCTTTGTGTCAACTGCTCCAACCACAGCTGTCGATCAAAGCCAGGCCACCCCAGGTCCTGGGGTGCTGACCTGCCCACCCAGCCTCTCCTGCAGGCCCCCAGGCAGCCCTTCGCTGCCCCGGCCCCCATGCGACGTGGCTGGCACTGCCTATCCTCACAGACACGCTGGAGAGGATGTTGCCATCATACTTTTTCCAGGGATGGGGGGCCACGCATGGGGTGGGGGGCTCCTCCCAGCCTGGCGTGCCCCTCCAGCTTCCCTCTGTCCACAAGCCCTGCCCTCCGACAGTCATCTGGCTTGCTCCGGGCTCCCATGAGTGGCTGGTTGTCGCTGGGCACCAGGCTCCACCTGGCTCTGCTGCTGGCAGGAGGCATGTCTTCATGTGCAGGCGCTCCTGATGGCTCAGCCTCTGGCCCACTGTGCTCCTGGGCTGCTGGCATGTAGAGCTGGGGTGGGGAGAGGACGGCTTGTTCCATGGAACAGGATGCTGTCTGCAGGAGCTTCCCGGGGCCACTGTGGCCCTAATGAGTTCCTGCTGCCCGTGCTGCCCTGCCTCCACCAGGAAGTCCTCTCGGGGTCAAGGAAGCTGGCTGGCTCACCCGTTGTGAGGCTGGGGCTCTCTCCATGGTGGGGACACAAAAGGCCAGATTGCTTCTCCCGTCAGGTCCTCACCCCTGAGGTCACATCTCTGTCCTCCCAGCCTGGAACCTGCGTTTCGTGCCTGACCCCTCACGCTCCCCAGTCCAGGCAGCCCCTGAGCCGCATTCACATCCCCCCAACCCATCTGACTGTGTCCTTCTACACGGTCGACGCTGTGGTCCGGCCGGTCACCCCTCCTCTGAGCATCTGAAGCCCCCACCTCCCTGCTCTCCCAGCCCCCATACCCGCCTGCTGCCCAGCTGAAGGCACTTTCAAGTGCAGATGCGATTATATTCATCCACAGAGCCACTTGCTCCAAGGTGAAGTCCACTGACCACGGCTGGCTGCCCAGCCTCCCTGGATCAAGCCCTGGCTGACCCCTTGACCTCATAACTGCCCCTGCGCCCCTCCCTGTCCCAGCACAGTGCACAACGTCCCCACCCTCTGCCCTGCCCATCACATGACATGCCACCCTCCCACGCCACACTGGGTGACCCTTGCTTCTCTGCCTGCGCCACAACCATCCTCTCCCCCCCTGCCTGGGACTCTCCCTTCCCTCTCCTCCCCTCCTTTGCCTGGACACTTCCTTCCTGCTCACCCTTCAGGTCCCACTTAGCTGTGACTTCCTCCAGGAAGGCAGCTATAGGGCCCTCATTTCACCTCCCGGAGCCTCCCTGCCTCTCCCATCACAGCCCTTCACCTGCAGGATATCCACCTGCTTGCTGCATCTGACCTCCATCAAACAGTGGGACCATGTGTGCGGGCACTGGTCCACACCATGCTGGGCTCACCACGGGAGCCAAGACGGAGCCGATCTTTGGTACATACTTTTTTTTTTTTTTTTTAACATGAATGTACTTTGTTTTTTTATTTATTTAGTTTTGGCGGCATTGGGTCTTCGTTGCTGCGCGAGGGCTTCTCATTGCGGTGGCTTCTCTTGTTGTGGAGCACGGGCTCTAGGTGTGCAGGCTTCAGTAGTTGTGGCACGTGGGCTCAGCAGTTGTGGCTCGTGAGCTCTAGAGCGCAGGCTCAGTAGTTGTGGCACACGGGCTTAGTTGCTCCGCCGCATATGGGATCTTCCCGGACCAGGGCTCGAACCCATGTCCCCTGCATTGGCAGGCGGATTCTTAACCACTGTGCCACCAGGGAAGTCCCTTTGGTACATACTTTTTAAAAACGTAGGAAAAGTAAGCTGGGACGAAGTGAGAGAGTGGTATGAACTAATATATACTACCGAATGTAAAATAGATAGCTAGTGGGAAGCAGCCACATAGCACAGGGAGATCAGCTCGGTGCTTTGTGACCACCTAGAGAGGTAGGATAGGGAGGGTGGGAGGGAGGGAGACGCAAGAGGGAAGAGATATGGGAACATATGTATATGGATAACTGATTCATTCTGTTATAAAGCAGAAACTAACACACCATTGTAAAGCAATTATACTCCAGTAAAGATGTTTTTTAAAAAACGTATTTATGAGTGAATGAAAGGTGACTTGTATTTTCCATGCTTCTGAGTGACCTCATGGTCACTGGGGATCAGATTCACATACTCTTATGGCTCAGAGGATCCACAGGAGATCTTGGAGGGAGCCACGCTGCCACTCGAGAAGGTAGCCAGTCTGTGATCCATGACCAGGTGACTGTACGTCCTGGCTTGCCTGGGAGGGTCCTGTGTGTGGGTATATTTATTAATGGTGCCCCCTTTGTTCTCGAGAGTGTCCTGTTTTGGAAGATCAATTGACTGTTCTCCAGATCCTTGATCAAGCCAGGCCTGAACTCCATCCTTGCCCTTCCTCCAGCTGTCTGCTCACTCACCACAAGGAAGCTGATTGGCCCATACTCCCCTCCTACCATGTGCTGCGGCCTCTCTCACACACCCTCCCCCATCTCCTGCCCACAGCTTGCAACTGCAGCGGCCGCTCTGAGGAGTGCATGTTTGACCGGGAGCTCTTCCGCAGCTCGGGCCATGGTGGGCGTTGCCTCCACTGCCGTGACCACACAGCCGGGCCACACTGTGAGCGCTGCCGGGAGAACTTCTATCGCTGGAAGCCACAGATGCCATGCCAGCCCTGTGACTGCCACCCAGCAGGTGAGTGGGCCGCACTGCCCCGGCCCCCACCCTCGCCCACCGCCACGGGCTCCTGCTGCCCTGTGTCCTTCCTCCCCAGGCTCCCTGCGCCTCCAGTGCAATGACTCTGGCACCTGCATGTGCAAGCCCACGGTGATGGGCTGGAAGTGTGACCGCTGCCTGCCCGGGTTCCACTCGCTCAGTGAGGGCGGCTGCAGGTGAGGGTGGTGGGGACAGTGGGTGTAGATGACCCAGCAAGGGCGCACGGTGGCGGATTTGGACTGAATGATGGGAAGCAGGAGGGGGAGTCCCAAGCCCCTCGGAAGGCAGAGTTGGCAGCAGGCGGTTACCCGGGGGCGGAAGAGGAGGAAGGGATGAAGGCTGACCCCCTGGGGTTCTGCTTCAGGCACCTGGGTGAAGGGAGGCCATTCATGGCAAGGGGAGCACAGGGTGGGGAGAGGCTGAGTCTGCAGTGCTCATGGGGCATCCAGGGGGACAGAGATCGGCAGGGGCTACTGGGGTCTGGACCTCAGAAGAGGGTCTAACGCTTTACTATCGCTTGATTGAGAAAATACACAATGACCAAAAAAAATGAAGCCCGTATAAATTCAGAAGTACTATTAAATGATCTTGGCGTTGGTTCATTGCACCAGTCTCCTTGTATATTTGAAAGGCAGTGGAAATGCCGTTGGGGAGGTTTGGAGAGTCTCAGATCTCTCTCAAAATACTCAGTCATTCAGGCATAAAACTGGCCATTAGGTGGGGACCTGGATGCTTCCCCAGGGTCTCTATGGCCTCTGGGCCTCTGTACATGCCACTTCTCCTACCCTGGAGCATTCTCTTCTCCCTCAACACCCTGCCTCTCCCCAGCCTGTGTCTGAACAAAGTCCTACTCACTCTTTAATTTTCAGTCAAGGTACAACTCCCCACCTTGTTCCCACTCCAGACACCTCATTGGTGCTGCCACAGCCTCTCTTGTACATTCTCTCCCGTAGCTTGTATCCAAGTACAACGTCTACCTGTTTGCCTGCCCATCCTCACTGGACTCTAGGCTCTGTGAGGACAGGGACCGTGTCTTACCAGATGGGGGATGGATGGATGGATGGGTAGATGGATGGGTGGGTGGATGGAAAATGCATGGATGGGTAAGTGAATAGGTGTGTGGGTGGGATGGATAGAAGGATGGAAGGATGAATAAATGGATCAGTGGTTGGAAGGATGCACAGATGGATGAATGCGTGGATGGATAAGCAGGTGGGTAGGCAGATGGATCACTGTTCAGGTGAGTGGGTGGGTCACTTCCTTTACTCAGTGGGGACAGTAGAGCCAGTGGGCAGGCTCTTGGGTCAGCCTGCCTCCTGTTCCTCTCGGGCGTGGGGAAGGATAGAGAGATTCCTTCCAAGGAGGGTGGGCTATTCCCACACTGGAGTTGCTCGTTGGATGCTTTCCTCTTGTCCTCTCTCTTTGGCAGACCCTGTACCTGCAATCCCGCTGGCAGCCTGGGCATCTGTGATCCCCGCAGTGGCCGCTGTCCCTGCAAAGAGAATGTGGAAGGCAACCTGTGTGACAGGTGGGTGAACCGATCCAGTAATAAGCCTGCTGGAAGTGACCTCAGTGGTGGTGGGAGGAGCAGGGGCTCCTCCCAGACTTGGGCAACCCCACCACCTGGCACCCTTCCTGGAGCACCATGGATCTGACACCCAGGAAGTTATCTAAAGACTTTGCAATACCATTTATACTTTGACCCACCACCACTGAGAGTTCATAAGCTGTGAAAATACATCTTTTTTCCCCTATCTCAGAATCCTGAAAAGAAAGAGCTAGAAAGGATAGGAGAGACCATCTAATCCAGGGAGAGCAGATACATGGTACTCGTACCACAACCCTCCCATCTCACACTCAGGGCAGACATCACTAGTAGAGCGCTACCACAACCCTCCCATCTCACACCCAGGGCAGACATCACCAATGGACCACAGCAGTTTACCATGAGCTCTACTGTAACCTCAGAATCCTTGTCTACGCCCTGCTCCAAGAAGCTCCCACCAGTTGAGCTGAGATTCAAGCTTGTTTGCCATCCTTGCCATCCTCTCATGGTACAAGCGGAGCTTCTAAGGCTCGACGAGGCAGAAGGACTTTTCCCTGCCCTTCCTCCTTGATGTGTTTAGGGGGCCTCCTAGCCCCAGCAACGGGCTGGCAGACAAATGTGGGTTTACGTCCTTGGGCACATTCTGTCCCCTCTTCCTGGCTTCATCTCCCAACCTCTGAAGCCTTTGCAGCCAGCGTGGGGTGTGCCAGGGCCTCTTTGATCCTCTGGCTGTGGGAACCTGACACAGCAGTATATTGTGGACTCTACCCTTGCGGGACTATGTTGGGCCTCTACTGGTTCAGGAAGAAGCCCGGCCTTGACTCTCACCTTGTCCACGCGGGGCCTGTGGGTCCTGGGGTGGGAGGTGGACTCCCTGCCGGGTCTTCCTCCCCCAAGACCCCTCAAGCTGAAGAGACAGAGTGGAGTTGGGGGACTAGATCCCACTAGCTCTACTCCACTGCCTCGTACCTTGAGGAGGTCTGCCTCTGAGCCTCACTTTACCTGTTTGTGAGATGGGGGGGCTGGTGAGATGTGTTCGTTGGAGCTGGCCCAGCTTTGGGGTAATTGGCATCTTCTTATGAATTGGATTCCTCCACCTGGGTCGGCCCGAATGGAGCCCTCATGGTGCAAACCAGGAATATGTGTTTGTAAAAGGCCTCTGCAGGGCTCCTGGGAGAAATGGCTGATTCTGGGGCTGGGGCGGGGAAAACACAGGATGAGCCCGAAGCATCTTGTAGAAAGCAGGGAAGTGCTTAAAAACAAAACCAGACAAAGACAAACCCAGAAAACCCCAAACCAGGATGGGGGCCCGTGTCAAACGGACATGAGCGCCAACCTGAAAGAGTTCCCAGAGCTGGAACAAAATAAATAACAACAATATCGGATTATAACCCAAAGTATAAAATAAACATCCATGAGTCCACACTGATATAAATAGATGAGTGAATAAATAAATACAGGGGGATGAAGGGAGAACTCTTCCTGGCAGAAGAATTCCACATTAGAAATGGAGAAGGGATGAGGGAAATATTAAAGTACTGTTACAATATCAGAGTAACGATCGCTGTAGGCCAGACACGCTGATGAATGCTGAAATTCGTGGGCAGAACTTGAGGGAGAAACAGGATATTTGCATGGCCCCCAAATATCTCCCTCAAAATATTTACTAATTACTGTGGTGCTTTCACCATAGGTCCACGATTCTTTGATTACTGCCCCCCTCCCAGAGGTGGAGCTTAATTCCCTTCCCCTCGACCCTGGGCTAGATTTAGTGACTTTTTTTGACGGCTAGAATATGGCAGTTTTGCAGTGGAGAAACCTGGCAGGGACTTCCCTGGTGGTCCGGTGGTTAAGACTCCGCACTCCCAATGCAGGGGGCCCGGGTTCGATCCCTGGTCAGGGAACTAGATCCCACATGCCACAACTTAAGAGTTCGCGTGCAGCAACTAAAGATCCCGCACGTGGCAACGAAGATCCTGTGTGCTGCAACTAAGACCTGGCGCAGCCAAATAAATATTAAAAAAAGAAAGAAAGAAAAGAAACCCGGCAGGCAGCGCCTTAACTAAATGGTGAAGGTTAACTGTACCAGTGACGTCATACATGACCAGTGATGTCATACATTACCAGTGACATCACACAGGTATCATTTACCCTGATATGATGTGAGAAGACGGGCACTTCGCCTCTATTCCTTCCCCAAACCCACAGCCCCAGTCTAATCTTGAAAAACACCAGACAAAGCCAAATGGTGGACATTCTACAAAATATCTGACCAGTACTGTCAAAGGTGTCCAGGAAAGACCGAGAAGCTGTTACAGATGAGATGAAGGACACCGCTAAATGCGATGTCATGTCCTGGATGGGATCCTGGAGCAGAAAACAGACGTTTGTGGAAAAGGGGGAGAAATCCTAATAAAATCTGGGGTTTAGGAAATGACGTTAATCAGTGTTAACTTCTTGGCTTTAATAAACGTACCCTGGTAATGGCAGATGTTAACATCAGGAAAAGCTGGGTGAAGAGGCGTGGGAGCTCGTGTCTACAATCTTTGCAACTCTTCTGTAAATCTGAAATTAAAACAACTTTCCCCGGTGATTCTGGGCTCCGGTTAGTCTCGCTGGGATCCCCCGAATGTAGCCAATTCATCTGGCCCCCGTGGGCGTGTCCGCCTCCGTTGCAGGTGTCGCCCGGGCACATTTAGCCTGCAGTCCCACAGCCCAGCCGGCTGCAGCAGCTGTTTCTGCTACGGCCACTCCAGGGCGTGCGCGGCCGCTGCCCACTTCCGGGAGCACCACATCCTCTCCGACTTCCGCCGGGGTAAGAAGTACCCCCACTGCAGCCACCTCCGAGGGGTCTGCTCCCAGTGCAGCTGGGACGGGCGGTCCTGGGTCCTGCTCTGGGGAGATCCTGCGATGGTGGTATGGGTGGGTGTGGAAAGGAGGGGGCAGCCTCGGGCCCCAGCCCGGGCGTCTCCCGCAGGCCCACACACCGGCCATGCGCCTCGGGGTCCTTCAGTACCCCCAGCACCTACCTGCATCCCTCGGCTCCCTCCTGGCCGCTGCCGTCTTCCTCAGCCTCCAGCAGGGGTGGGGGGTGGGCACCTGGCAGCCTTTGGAGCCTGTGGGGGAGTTTCCAGTTGCTCCTTGGCCCCCTAGTGCTGGGGATCCGGGCTCAATCCCCTGGCCTCCATTTATTGAGCACCTGCTATATGCTAGGCACCATGCTGAGCTCGTTATGTCCATGGAACCTCCTGGATTCCCTGGCAGGTAGATATTCTCATCCCCATTTTACAGATGAGGCACCTGAGGCCCAGAAAAGGAAGGTCACGTAACTTAGTTGTTGGCACCTTGGGTTCATCAGCTCCCGAGTTTTGCTCTTCACTGCTGTGCAGTTCTTCTTTCTAGGTCCAGGGGTGCTGTGGGGACCTGGGTCCCCAGCTCCAGGTGGATCTTTGGAGCAGGAAAGCAGTGGAGCTCTGAACTCTGCATTAAATCATGGCCTGCGTGGGTCCCTGCCATGCCCACTGAGTCTCCCCACCCCAGCATCTCCCCCAGGGAGCTAGAACCTCAGGGCTGCCTCTGGGGCGCCCCAGATGCAGGGGGAGCAGTGCGCCCTCTGCTGGACACCACGCAGAAAGCAGGACGGAGCGGGGCTTGGAATGGGGACCGCCTTGTGGTCACTTGGGCTGTAGTCCAGGATGTCAGCGTCAGAAGGGACTCATTTTATAGATCCTAGAATAACATCACGATCCTCCTCACTTGGAGCCAAGCCCTGGGTTTGGCCCTTCAGTCTCAGCATCTCACGTGATCTCACTAGCACCCTCGGCCAGCGGTTCTCAAACGTTTTGATCTCTGGATCCCTTCATGCTCTTGAAAATTAGAGAGAACCTCACAGTCCTTTTGTTTATGTGGGTTGTTTATACGGATATTTTCTGTATTAGAAATTAAAACAGTAGTTTTTAAATATCTGTGTATTAATTCATTTACGGATGACCGTAGTAAACTTATAACAAAATATAACTTCTGCCTGTGAAAAACAACCCTCCTTTTAAAAGACAGAACACTTTGAGAAGAGTGCTACCCGTTTTACATTTTTGCACATCTCTTTAAGGTCTGGCTTAATAGAAGTCAGCTGATCCTTACCACGGCTTCTGCCATTTAGTCTGTTGTGATATCACACATCCTGTAGCTTCTGGAAAATTCTCACTGTAAGAAAGAGAATGAAAAACGCAAATAACATTTTAATGTTATTTAGAAGATAGTTTGACACCATGGACCCCCTGAAAGAGCCTTAGGGATCTCCCAGGATATTCAAACCAGCTTGAGAACTGCTACCGGGACCACAGTACCTCATTGCCTCCATTTTGCAGATGAGGCACTAACCGGCTTCAGAGAGATTAAGTAACTTGCCCAGGGTCACACAGCCAGCAAAGGGGCAGAGCCTAGTCTAGCACGGAGGAGCCCCGGACTTCCCCTTTCTGACCTCTTTCTGTTTCTTCATCCCTCCCTCCTCACCCCTTGGGTGCCCCAGGTGTTGGGCCTCCACCGTATTCTCCAGCTGCCCCCCTGGAGAGCACCCTCTGGAGGTCACTTGCTCTGTGCCCGACTGTGCCTGGTGTACTGCCATCCCCAGAGGGAGGGTGGACTGAACTGGGACTGGGTTCCCACCCTGACCTGGCCACTTCCTAACCAGGTGGCCTCCCTGGGTGCAGTGGGGCTCGTGGCACACACACCTGGAAGGACGGGGTGGTGAGGTCACGGGCGAGGAAATCCTTTGAAGACCTGAGGACAAGGTCTAGTCCAGTCTTGTTAGAGACTCTGCCCACAGTGGGGTCTCCGGGCTGTCCTCATGTCCTCATCATGTGCTCAAAGCCCAGCGAAGGGGGCTTCCCTGGCTGTCCAGTGCTTAAGACTCCACGCTCCCAATGCAGGGGGCGCAGGTTCGATCCCTAGTCAGGGAACTAGATCCTGCATGCCGCAACTCAGAACCTACATGCTGCAACTAAAGATCCGGTGCGCCACAGTTAAGACCTGGCGCAGCCAAATAAATAAATATATATTTTAAAAAAGAAAAAAGCCCACTGAAGGGGCAGGGCAGGCCCAGAGGTCTGACTGTGCCCCAACAGAGCTGGGTCTCTGAGCCTCCCAGCTCCTCCTGGAGCCACCTCCCACCCCAAGACCCCCATCCTGATCTGGAATGGGGTTCCAAGCTGCCTGGCTCTGGGCACGGAGCGTTTGCTCGCACCAGCCAGTTCTCATCCCCCCCTGGCCTGTCTCTAGAACAGTCTCTCCCCTCTCTGGGTCCTGGTGTTTCAGGCTGCACTCAGGCCTCTGGGGGTCGTCCTTGGGACCCGGGAAAGGGTGTGAAGTGGGAGGGGGCAGAGGCCACCCTCCAGGGCCTCACCTCACAGGGGCCCTGTGTGTGTGTTTGCTGTCCAGGAGCCGAGGGCTGGCGGACCAGAAGCATGGGGGGCCCAGAGCATCCTGCACAGTGGAGCCCGAGAGGGCTTCTCCTGGACCCAGAGGGCAAGGAGGAGCTCACAGCACCAGGTACCTTCCTCCACAGGCAGGGGCAGGGCTGCCCGCGTCCATTTCCTGTGGCTGCTGTCCCAGATCACCACCAACTTAGTGGCTAAAAGCAACACAGATGTATTCTCTTAGTGTTCTAGAGGTCGGGAGTTGAAAACGGGTCTTTCTGGGCTGAAGTCGAGGTGTCGGCTGGGCTGGGCTCCTTCTGGGGGAGGCTCGGGGGAGAATCCGTTGCCTGGCCTTTTCTAGCTTCTCGAGGTGGCCTGCATCCCTCTGCTCGTGGCCCCTTCCTCCTCCTTCAAAGCCGGTCAGATCTTTCTCACGTTGCATCTTCCTGACACCACCTCTTTTGCCTTCCTCTCCCATCTCTGAAGGCCCCTTGTGATTACGTCGGGCCCAGCTGGATAATCTAAACTAATCTCTCTACTTAATTGCCCCTGCCACGCAGCATAACATATTCACAGATTTCGGGGATCAGGACCTGGACACTTTGGGGGGCCTTTTTCCTGCCGACCACGTGCCCTGCAGCCTCTGCTTCCTCATCACAGCCTTGCCACCCAGGCCTCCCTCAGACCACCGTCGCACCCCAGACAGTCCCTGCGCGTTTCCCATCAGCGTCTCACCCCGCCAGGCCACCGCACCCCCATGCCCGGGACCATGGTATTCCTGTAGAAGCAAGAAGTTCTAGATTATTCTGAACCACTCCCCTCCAACTAGGGCAGCTTTGGTCTCCTGGAAACTGTATCAGACCAGGAGCCTGGAGCCCATTCTTAGCTCCACTGTGGCCAGATTTGGGGTCCACTGGCTCCCTTCACCCAGTCCTGCCCTTTCCCTCTCTCTGCAAGAGGGGCTAGAGAGGGGCACTCAGACGTCTGAGGAACTGTGTGGATGCAGCACCCGTGTGCCCTGCAGTCAGGAAACAAAGGACATGGGGTCCTCGGGTCCCCTCCTGGGGCAGGTGTTCCAAGTTCAGAAGCCCGAGAGCAGAAAACATGCTCTGTTCCCTCGCTGCTTTGTCAACAGATTAAAGAAGAAGGAGTTATTCGCTCACGTGTTTGCTGGGTTCTCTGCTGGGTGTGCTGGGCACACTGCGGTGGGCAGGGCAGGTGGTGGGCGAACTCAACCGTTTTGATTTCACTTCTTTTCACGCACACATTCAACAAACACTCTCGTGAGTACGGAAGGCCTGAAGGGAGGAAGGATGGGGTGTCTTTCGGTCCCTTTCCTTCTGTGTCATGATTTTCCGCCTAAGCCCTTGGCTAATACAGAGAAATGACCAAGTAAGACGGGCTATGACAGGGCCCCTCGGTCCTTTATGCGTCTGCCTTCTTCCCACTGGAAGCAAGTTCTGATTCCCATGGAAAGTGTGGCCCTTGGGGGCTGTCAGTGCCCCTACTTAGTCACACGTGTAGCACGCTTGCCTGGTACTCGCTTTGAGCCTCACTAAATGCAGTGGATGCGGGTCCCTAGGGATTCTGAGCTCACGGTGTTGGGCGTCATGAGCGCTGTGTGAACGGGCAGGCAGGTGCCACTGCCTTGCATACTGTGAGTTTCTCCTCTGCTCCTGTACAGACTCCCTTGTCCCATGGCACTTCACTTACAAAACCCAAGTTCCAAGATAAAAGTCTTAAGAGTGTCAAGATAGGGACAGCAGAGCGTTAAGCCAGGCGTGGGGCCCCAGGTAACTGCCGGGGTCACATGCCCAGGAAGCCAGCCCTGTCTGCGGAGGTATGAGTGGGTCACACTCAGCGTCTTCTGTGCAGGGACCCTTTGATTTTGTAGTTTTATCTTTCGAAGGTTTAATTGGCAATAAAATCAGTGTAGACATTTAAAATCCAGCTAATTAATTGAAGACCGTCAAAGCTGCCCTCTCTTGTCTTCAGAGAAGTTCCTGGGAGACCAGCGGTTCAGCTATGGGCAGCCCCTCACACTGACATTCCGGAGCCCCCCCAGGGGCTCCCCCATCCCTGTGAGGCTGAGGCTGGAAGGGGCGGGTCTGACCTTGACTCTGCGGCATTCCAGCGCGCCCAGCCCCCTGGACGCCAGGCAGCCGGGGGAGGTACAGCTCAAGTTCCTGTAAGTGTCCCGCTCTGCCCTGAGAGATGGGGTCGAGCAGTCGGGGTGGTCCCTGAGGTCCCTGGGGTCTGGGGGCTCCCGCCCTCCCCACTCCTGCTGGAGGATTCCTGTCACCACCTGCCCCGGGCCTCACGTTCTGCTTTGACCCCCTCCCCCTGCCAGGTTGCAAGAGACCTCTGAGGACGTGGACCCTCCGTTGCCGCCCTTCCACGTCCAGCGGCTGCTCACCAATCTGACTGCTCTGCGCATCCAGGCCAGTGGCCACAGTGCCAGCCCTGCCGGTGAGTAATGGTAGGGATACCCCCAGCCCCAAACCAGTTAGGCCCCTGGGCTCTATCGTGCATAGCCTTGCTGAGTCCTCACAGCAGGCGATCATCGTCCCCGCTTTACCACGAAGGAGTCTGAGGCTCAGAGAGGTTGGGACACTTGCCCAAGTTCATGTAACCAGTAAGGGCAGCAGGGGGGGATGCTGAGCATAGAGGCAGGCGCTGGACAGGTGAGGGGCCTGAGGATGGACAGCTCTAAGGGACAGGTGCTTGGCCACAAGGCAGCCAAGAGCCTGGCGTGGTCGTACCATGGCAGAGTCCCCCACTGCCAGGAGGCCGCACCCTAGAGGGCCGGCCCTAGGTTGGTGCTGGCCGCAGGGGCCAGGCCAAGGTTCCCAGGGTATCGCTTCCCCCTGCTGGTGATCGGAGGTGTTGCACCTAGAGAAAGCCTGGTTTCTAAACCCTCTGAACCAGCCAGCGAAGTCATCACAACTTCATCTGGGACTTCTCAGCACCTCCCATCCTGGTCACTGGGTGATTTTGCCCTGATGGTCCTCTGACTGTTCCTGGTTCCCTCCTTTTTCCTCAATGTACTTTCTCTTCTCCCCACCCCGTGCCTGTACGTGCCTAGACCAGGGATCCTCCATGCCCCTTTTTAGAACAGATCTTTCATATGTAGCACCCCTTTTACTATCTGGAAATGAAATTCACAGATATTATAACCTAGACATAATTTTTAAAAAACAGTATAATATTCTAACTGTAGTACACAGAATAAATAAAAGGAAAGTAAGTGATATTTTAAAATAACCGTATGAATTCCAGTCACTGCTTCTAGGAGGGTGATTTGAGAACCCCTGGCTTAGATGGCCAGCTTTTCCTGGGGCGCCTTTGAGTCCAAGACTTGGGGGTTGTAACCCAGCCCCCTCCAGCCCCAGACCTTCCTCCTCTTTGGAGCTGTGGTTTAATTGCCTTCACCCCCATCATCCTTGCCAGCACTCCCTGCTCCCCAGAGCCCCCCCTTGCAGGAATTTCATTTTTATTCTTTCTAGCAGCTTCCAGAACTTCCTTCTGTCACTCACTCAGCCGTCAGTTAACAGATGTTTACAAAGCACCTACTTAGGCCAGGCCCGTGCTGGGGGTGAACTGGACACGCACGTGGACGTATTGACACTCATCTCACCCCACCCCCCAAACCTCCTGTGCCCACTGATAACGTTCCGGGGTGTATCACTCCAGACCTTTCTGTGTGCGTGTACTTACATTTGTATTTTTTTAATACAGAAATGTGATCCCACAGTATAGTGATCTGCCACTTGCTTTTTTCAGCTAACAATGCATCCTGGAGGTTGCTACTTGCCTTACACGTAGAAAAGGCTGGCTCTGCATGTCCACCGCATATCACTCCGTGGTAGAGACGCCCCATAAAGTTTTACCCACCCCCCCTACTCATACGTATTGAAGTGGTTTCCAGCTTTTCACCATTGCTAACAGCACTGCAGGGAACAGCTTCGTATAAAGGTCTTTTATCCTCATGCAAGTGTGTCTTTAGGACACATTCCTCAAAATGGAAATGTTAGGTCAAAGAGTGTACATTTCACACTTTGACACATGCTATCAAATTTTGCTTCAGCAAGGCTGTACCGATCTATATTCTGATGACAGGTGTCCACTCTCCTTCCCTATTTACCTGCTCTGGTTTTCCTCCAGTGTTTGTAGAGAGTTTTTATATTTTGTCCCAAGTTGCTAGTTGTTTTCTGTGGGAAGGTTGGTCTGAGAGGAGCTACTCCCCTGTTACTAGGAGCAGGACCTCCTGGTTTGTATTCCCACAGTCCCGTGCCTGAGTTCCCCACACCCACATCCTCCACTGTCACTGACTGTAACATGCTCACCAATCTGAGGGTCGTGAATGATAGCAGTCTTTATTTTTTATTTTTTTGTGGTACGCGGGCCTCTCACTGTTGTGGCCTCTCCCGTTGCGGAGCACAGGCTCTGGATGCACGGGCTCAGTGGTCATGGCTCACGGGCCTAACGGCTCCGCGGCACGTGGGATCTTCCCGGACCGGGGCACGAACCCGTGTCCCCTGCATCGGCAGGCGGACTCTCAACCACTGCGCCACCAGGGAAGCCCGATAGCAGTCTTTAAATGTACACATCTTTAATAACCAGTGAGAGTGAATGTCTTTCTGTAAAATTCCCAGCCATATCTATTTCTCCTTCTGAAAATTACCTATATTTTCCTTTGCCCTTGGTCTGTTTTTTAAAAATTATAAGCGATCCATGGACTGCCTCTGTATACGTGGGCCAATAACCCTTTGCCTTTTACATATGTGAATAGGAAGATTTGGGGGAGAAACATGTGCATGGAACTCTCTCCTTCTCTCTCTCCTCGATCTGCAGGCCCAGTGTTCCTGACTGAGGTCCGGCTCACGTCGGCCCGGCGGGGACTCTCCCCGCCAGCCTCCTGGGTGGAGACTTGCTCGTGTCCCAGGGGCTACACGGGCCAGTTCTGTGAGTCCTGTGCTCTGGGATACAAGAGGGAGACACCACTGGGGGGTCCCTATGCCAGCTGTGTTCCCTGCACCTGTAACCAGCATGGCACCTGTGACCCCAACACAGGTGAGTCTCCCTGCATCCCCCCCCCACCCCCGCAAGGCCACCTGGGCACACAGAACAGCAAGATGAGTACTGACCTGCACGGGGTCAGCTATGAGCATGTAAGTCACGAAAAACAATACCGATAAAATGGTATCCTCGAGTCCCTCCAAGTGCTAAGCACCTTTTTATATGCTATGTCATTGAATCCTGCAAAAACCCCTGGCAGTGCCAGGGCCATTCCTGACCCATCTTACAGATGAAGGACCTAAGGTGCAGGGAGGCTGCACGGCCAATAGGTGGCAGAGCTACTCCTCCCACAAGTTCAGTACCAGCTATTCATCCCCACTTGTAGCAGAGGAAACCTGGGGAAAGACCTCGCCCACAGTCACTGGGCAGGAGATGCCCGACAGGGGCTGGACGCTGGTCCCTCACACAGGAGGTGGGAGGGTCAGCGCCCTGCTGCTCTCCTGGAGCTGCTGGGGTCTCTGAAAAGAATGCCTTTTCTCAGCTGGCAAAGCACAGTAACCTGGGAATGAACCGGCCAGCCAAGATGGGCATGCACCGGCAACATGAGGGGCCTCCCCGCTTCTTGTGCCCGTGGCAGTCATCACTAATCGAGCCAGATGAGACCTCATAGTCCTTCTATGCAGTGCTCCAAGAGAGTTGTCTCTTGAGATGGGACTAGTTTGTCATCCCTCAGAGCCCCTCGCCTTGGCATGACTTCCAGCTCCATGTGGGCGAGTCCTCATCTGTAAAATGGGCACACCAGCCACTGCTGTCCACCCTGGATGGGAGGAGGAGTAGTGAGCATGTGGGTGCTGGGCCAAGAAAGCAGGGCAGGTGTGACAGCTCCCCCTGGATGCCACCCCTGCTCTGCTTGTCCGCCCTGCGTCCCCTCTCCTCCTGTTCACCTCAGTCCCTGCTGGGTGCTGCTGGGGGCCTCTGGGAAGTGCTGGTCTTGCTTATCCCCATCTTGGCCAGGCTCCTCCCTTAGTCCCTGGCAGTAGCTCTGAGAAGACTCCAGATGCTGTGGGGCTGGAGAAGGGGGTTTGCAGAATCCCCTTCATTAGAAACCAGTGGGCAGAGACAGGGGTTCTGTTCTATGAGACCAGGAAGCCTCTGGAAACCCATAGACCCCCTAAATGGGAGCCTCATGTCAAGGCCAGAATCCTGGATCTGTGTCACTGTCCCTGAAGTTAAGAGGACACGGAGGCTTCAATTAAAAAGATAAAGAGGACACAGAGGAAGAGGAAAAGGAAGACTGTGACAGCAAATGCTAGCTGTATCGTCAGCTGGTTCGGTTACAGGTTTTGGAATACAAAATAATAATGACGACAGTAATAATAATTGTGTGCAAGAGACTGTGCAGGGCACTTTGACTGCGTGGCCTCATTGAATCCTGATGAAAACCTTTTGAGGTCAGAGCGATTTATGCCCATTTTGCAGGTGAGGACGTTGAGGCACAGGGGTGCCCAGGTTCACACGGTCAGTAAGTGGTGGATGTGAACCTGGGGCGGACACTTCATCCCTGGGCTATGCTGCCTCCACCTTGGAAGTGTTCCCACCCCTTTTCTGCCTGGGACGTGCTCTGTGACCCCCACGGCCAGAAGCCTGCCTGCCGTCTCTGGAGCGTCTGGGCTCAGGCAGTGGTGACCAGGTGCTCGTCTTGCCCCTCAGGGATCTGCCTATGCGACCACCACACCGAGGGCCCGTCCTGTGAGCGCTGCTTGCCAGGTTTCTACGGCAACCCCTTCACAGGCCAAGCCGATGACTGCCAGCCCTGTCCGTGCCCTGGACAGTCGGCCTGCATGACCATCCCAGAGAGCAGAGAGGTGGTGTGTACCCACTGCCCCCGGGGCCAGAGAGGTGAGTGGCTCATGCCCTGGGGCCCTGCCTCTGCCCGGCCTCCAGGAGTGAGTCCTGGGTCTGGAGTGTGACAGATGACGGAGGGCCCAGCTTAGGGGTGACAGGCCTGACCTCTGGGGACACTGAGTCTCGTAGCCCCATAGCCAGGAGCCCGGGCTGAATGGGTTCCCGTCAGAACTTGGGCCACTGAACATACCACGTGGGATTTTGGAAATCCTTATGTCCGGTCCTGGCCCCGCAGAGCCTGGTTTAGTAGCTTAAGACAAAGCTCAGGAATCCGTATTCCTATCAATTTTCCCCCATAGTTAAGGTGGAAAACCTCTGATTGAACTTTCAGCTTTAAAAAAATGTCGTCGTGGGAATTCCCTGACAATCCAGTGGTTAGGACGTGGCGCTTTCACTGCCGTGGGCCTGGGTTCAATCCCTGGTCGGGGAACTAAGATCCCGCAAGCCACGTGATGCATCAAATAAATAAATAAATAAATAAAATTGTAAACTGTCACCAGATAATGTGTGAAGCAGAAGTGTCCCCATCCCCAGCTCTCTCCCTGTTCCTCATTCCCGCTCCAGGACTCAGAGTCATCCTAGGCATCTGATTTTTCTAAAAAAAAAGCAGCTTTATTGAGATATTATTCACATACGCTATGGTTCACCCATTTAAAGTGTACAGTTCAATGGTTTTTCAGTATATGCCATTATTGTTTTTTTTAAATTTTGGCAAATACGCATAACATAAAATTTGCCATTTTAACCATTTTTAAGTGTACAGTTCACTGGCCTTAAGTACATTTACAGCGTTGTGCAGCCATCACCACCTTCCATCCACGGAATTTTTCTTAATCATCCTGAATAGAAACGTCACACCCATTAAATTATTGTTGAACAGTTCTCCCTCCTCACAGCCCCTGCCATCCACCATTCTAGTTTCTGTCTCTGAATTTGACCATTCCGGGTACCTCATGTAAGTGGACTCAGACAGCATTTGTCCTTTCATGTCTAGCTTCTTTGTTTCTTCCTTCCTTCCTTCCTTCCTTGCTGCGTTGGGTCTTTGTTGCTGCGCGCGGGCTTTCTCTAGTTGTGGCGAGCAGGGGCTACTCTTCGTTGCGGTGCGCGGGCTTCTCATTGCCGTGGCTTCTCTTGTTGCAGAGCACGGGCTCTAGGTGCGTGGACCTCAGTAGTTGTGGCATGCGGGCTCAGTAGTTGTGGCTCACGGACTCTAGAGCGCAAGCTCAGTAGTTGTGGCGCACGGGCTTAGTTGCTCTGCGGCATGTGGGATCTTCCCGGACCAGGGCTCGAACCCGTGTCCCCTGCATTGGCAGGTGATTCTTAACCACTGCGCCACCAGGCAAGTCCTGTGTCTGGCTTGTTTCACTTGGCATAATGTTCCAAGGTTCCCAGACATCTGGTTCTATATCTAGTACCTGTGGCTGCATCAGGACAGCCCATTATCTTGGTCCTGTCAGATGCCTGCTTTGTTGGGACCACTCTGAAAGCAGCTCCCTGATGGCTAGCAGGACTGGGGAGATGCCCCAGAGCAGGGGTCCCAAGAACTGAGGGAGTGAGGTCCCACCACAGGACCCTGCCCCCTGCCATCATGATGCCCCTTTGTTTCCATAAACTTCCCCACATTTTCTGGCTCCCTACCTGTGGCTTCCTCTGGTCTGCAACATGAGGGGATCCCACTCAGTGAGAGGGTGGACACTTAGAGAAGTTACCCAAGGGAGGATTTTGGGGGAGCAAGCCACTGCTGTCCACAGAGGGAACCCTGGGAAGGCTCCCTGGGGTCGACGTTAGGCCCTGGGACTTTGTACCAGTTCCTGTCTTTATCACACCAGCATCCTTCAGGTCCCGCCAAAGCCCTCACCCAGACAGTCTGAGCCGGGACTGACCAGGGTCAAGCCCTGATCCCTGCCTGCCTCACTTGTCTACCATCCTGAACCCTTGCAGCTGCCTCCTACCTGGGAGCTGTCCTCACTTGGTCCCAAGTGGATGGCAGGTTAACTATGGGGACCACATTCTTCATCACCAGCTTCAATCTCCCCCTTGCCCGTCTTACTTTTTTCTTTGGCCGCGCTGCACAGCTTGTGGGATCTTAGTTCCCTGCCCAGGGATTGAACCCAGGCCCTCTGCAGTGAAAGCATGGAGTCCTAATCATTGAATTCCCCCCTCTTACTTCATTTCTATTTCAGAGTCTCAAAGCCAGACACTAGCCTCTACCTTGAACTCCATTCAGATTTTTCTTTTCCTTCCTTTTCTCTCTTTTTTTTTCATCTCTTCCTTAGTATTCCTCCTCTCCATGTTCAAGGTTGCCTGCCTTTAGTCGCATTAACTTGATTTCAACTGGACCAATGAACTTTGAGGATGCAGGGAGCCCACAACTATCTTTCACCGTGACAGTAGCTATTTTTTAAGTTATAAAGTTAGTAATACTCATTGTAACAATGTCGACTGTTTGTAAAAGTGTAAAGAGGAACATGAATGTGCATACAAGCAAGAAGACGACTTACGATGCCCACATCATCCTGCCACCCCCAGAGTCCCCCCAGTCGTCTGTTTCATGCAGATATGCACAGAGAGGTAGGTGTATTTACCAAGAATGAACTGACACTGCCTGAAGCACATAGTCCAAGTGTGTCCTTTTATGCCCCATCTGTGTTCAGAGTGAATCTCCCAGGCCATGACCCTCCAAAAGCCTCCTCACACACCTTCTTTTCTGAGACTCACAGTAACCCTGGGGCTGAGAGATGAAGCAGCAGCCCCAGATCAACCCCAGGAAGCAAGGTGGGAGTATGAAATAAACAGTCCAGATGGAGTTCAGAAACCGTGAGAAGCAGAAAAGGCAAAGGGGTCAGAAACCGCAAACGAAAAAGCAACCACAGCTGAGGGAGGGAGATGGGGGAGAGGAGGAGGTACGGAAGGGTGAAGAGGAGGGTGGCAGTGATGTTGAGATGGAGACAAGGAAGACGATGACGAAGGTGATGAATGATGACGATGACGTCGACAAAGACGACGATGACGATAACGATGAAGGTGATGGTCAAGGCGCTGATGAAGAGAATGGTGGTGATGATGAGAATGTGGGTGTTGACATGACGACAAGGAGGGTGATGATGGTGAATGGGTGATAACAGCCACTGCTGTTGAGCACCAACCATGTGCCAGGATCCGTGCTAAGTGCTTTGCACGAGTGATCTCACCAAACCTTCTCAACAGTCCTTTGAGGTAGCTGCCATTATTGTCCCCGCTCTGCAGACAAGGAGCCCAAGTTCAGAGAGGCACAGTGACTTGCTTAAGACCACACAGCCTGCTAATGGCCCAGCTGGGCCCTGGCCCCAGGTCAGACTGACCCCAGAGCCCCTGCTCTGCTCCACAAGGAGACTTGAGGGAGCTCGCTTTGGTTCATGCCCGGCCTCACCCTTCATGGACCCAGCGGGCTGGGTTCCTCAATCACACAAGGTTTCTCCTTTCCCAGGGTGGCGCTGTGAGATCTGTGATGATGGCTTTTTTGGGGACCCGCTGGGGCTCTCTGGGGCCCCCCAGCCTTGCCAGCTGTGTCAGTGCAGTGGGAACGTGGACCCCAACGCAGTGGGCAACTGTGACCCCCTGTCTGGCCGCTGCCTGCGATGCCTACACAACACGACAGGTGCCCACTGTGAGAGCTGTGAGGAAGGCTTCTACGGGAGCGCCCTGTCCCCTCGGCCCGCAGACAAATGCGTGCGTGAGTACCCCCCTCCCAGACCCACAGGGTGGGACGTGGTGGGCCCCTTCTCCACCAGATCCAGCTGGCTGCTCTGCAAGGCTGTGCAACCTTAGGCAGATTACTCACCTTCCCTGTTGCCTTGTCAAGAAAGTGTAAGGGTTTGCTCTTCTCCAAGGTCTTTCAGCCTTGGGATCTGATCAACTCTGACCCTGTGATTTTTTTTTTTTTTCCTGCCCGGATAATTTAGCACTTACCTCACGCTCCACAGTTGGCATGCAAGACTGTCCCAGATGGCCTGCGGCACTCATCATGTTTGTCCTGCCCCTGGGCTTCCTGTCAGGCCGTGCCTCCCCACCAAGATGCTCAGCCCTCTGTGCCCTCTCAGAGGGCCACAGCGTGTGTGAGCTCGTGGGAGGCTTCCAGAAGTGCTGCAGGGAGAAGCTCAGTATTTGCCCCCAACTCACTTGCTCCTGAGCCCTTGCTGCATATGGAGCACCCGTCGCCTCTTGTTTTATGGGGCCCAGGAGAGCAGAGACAAGTGGCCCAAAACAGTGGGAACAGAGGTCTGCCCCTAACCCCCAACCAAGTTTCTGGCCTTCTCTCCAGCCTGTGGGGATTCAGGGCAGGCTCAGAAGGGCCATCTGCCACCACGACTATTCTGGGCTGTCTCTCCAAGGACGTAGAAAATGGGCTGAGACTTGAGCCCAGCCCTAGAACCTTTTTTCAGAGACTGCTCAGGAGTCTGAGCTGAACGGGAGTCATCTCTGTGGGCTCCCCATCTTCTCTGCCTCTCCTGGGTCCCCAGAGGTTGAACGGATGATCGGCATGGTTCCCCACCACCCTTTCCTGCTCCCACCCCCAGCCTGCAGCTGCGACCAGGCGGGCTCAGTCGGCGAGCAGAGACCCTGTGACCCAGTGACCGGCCAGTGCACCTGCCTGCCTCATGTGACCGGACGGGACTGTGGCCACTGCAGCCCTGGCTTCTACGACCTCCAGCCTGGCAGGGGCTGCCGGAGGTGGGTGGGGCGAGGCTGTGGGTGCCCTTCCCCTGGGTGTTTCTCCAGGATGGACGAAGTCGCCAGGGAGCCTCCAGAGAGGGGCCTGGCTTGGCATGTGTCGTCCCAGGCCCACTGCCAGGTACACTGTGCCCTACACTGAAGGGGGACAAAGGGACGGTCCCTTGGGGGTCAGATTCATGGCCCTGCCAACCCAGGCTGCAGGCCAAGAGCAGCCCTAAGGGATGCCCAGGTGGGCAGGGGCTGGTTGGGTCTCTGATTCCCTTCTCGGTAACTCTGTCGCTCTGTGACCTTTTGGGCCACAGCAGCAGCTTAGATACCATCTTTAGGGAGCAGTGGAGAACTCCAGGGAAATGCCCAGTGAAGCAAACAGGTTTCTTCCTGACCAGACTTCTCAGGCCTTTAATATGCTAATTGCATTGTGACTTTCCAACTGAAGGGTATAGTCCAAATGTATATACGTCCCCATACCTTTTTTTAGGGGGCGGGGGGAGCATTTTATGAGACTGTGCTTTCCAGGGCACAGCTTGAGGGAAGCTGTTTGACATGTGCAGACACAGAGAATGGGCCTTGTCAACAGAGGCGTGATCACCAGCCCTAGCCGGCAGAGGTGGGACTGGGGATGGCCCAGAGCTGGACTCAGACCTGGGCCCCTTCCCTTATCGTAGCTGCAAGTGCCACCCGCTGGGCTCCCAGGAGGACCAGTGCCACCCCAAGACCGGGCAGTGCCCCTGCCGTCCAGGCGTCGAGGGCCAGGCCTGCGACAGATGCCAGCTGGGTTTCTTCGGCTTCTCCATCGAGGGCTGCCGGGGTAAGGAAGCCGGGTCCTTCCCAGGCTGCCTAGAGAGTGAGGCTTCTAGGAAAGAGGACCAACGGGGCAGACGGCCACGCAGCAGGAGAGAGATCAGATACGGGGCAGGTTTTCTTAGAGCAGCCGTGGGAACATGGAGTGAGTGAGCAACACAGAAGACAGCATGGGAGGCCAAGAATCTAGTCCTAGACTCCACTGCTAAATCCCAGTGTGCCTGGGGCCATCAGGTCACCTCTCTGGGCCTCATTTGTTTGGTTAGACTGCGTGGCAGTCCTAAACCTGACTGGTCCTCAGATCCCAGGGGCACTGAAATAACTCAGGCTCTCAGCCGTCACCTCCAGCCTTCTGAATCAGTCTCCCAGGAAGGACCCAGGAATGTACTTGAGCTGCCCACGGGGTCTGAAGCAGCCAGGCGCAAGGGTGCGGGGGACCTGGGGGTTCCAGTGTGGGGTGGCCATCAGGGCACCCAGCGCCGTCTGCCCCGCCCCCCAGCCTGCAGGTGCTCCCCGCTGGGCGCCGCCTCGGCCCAGTGTCACGAGAACAGCACGTGTGTGTGCAGGCCCGGCTTTGTGGGCTACAAGTGTGACCTCTGCCAGGACAACTTCTTCCTCACGGCCGGCGGCACACACTGCCAGGAGTGCCCGTCCTGCTACGCCCTGGTGAAGAAGGAGGTGAGCCCTCCCATCCAGGCCCTGCCCAGGGCCGCCCCACCTTCTGTTCATTTCACACCCCCAATGAGCACCAGCTCTGTGCTGGGCACCGGGAAATGCCCACTTACCCACAGCTCTCAGGCCTTCTAGGACCACCGGCCACCTCCTTCTTGTGCCCACCCAGCCATCTGGCCCAGCCCCACCTCTGCCCTTCCCTGGCTCTTAAGTGGACAGGAGAAAGGTGGCTTCTGTTGCATGTCTTTCCCCACCACCCAGGCCGAGGTCTCACACTTTCTCAAGTTCAATAGGAACGAGACCACAGAAGGCCCTTTGGGGGAGGGTCAGGAGGAGGGCAATGCCCATTATGGGACACAAGTAGTATCTCAGGCAGGGAGGTGGTGTCGTGCAGGGGTCAGGAGCATGACCTCTGGGGTTCCCCTACCCCCCCCAACCCTGTTAGTTGTCACATGCCCAGGCAGGTGACAGCCTTGGTAAGTTTCAGTGTGTGTCTCCTACTCCAAAATGAAAACCTGCAGCCCCTTAACCTGAATCCAGTGATGGTTCTGTAGAAAGATAGGATGGTGTGTGCTGAATATTAGGTACCACTCCCAGCGGTGCCTGGGCCAGCCCCCTAACCAAACCCAGTGATACATCTGCAGGAGAACAGGTGAATAGTCACACCAAGGGGGTAAATAAAGATCATAAGTAGCCTTGTTCAGAGCAGTTGTGTTTCTAATTGAGTGCAGGGTTTTTTCAACCTGATTTTGCCACCCAGTAAGGAGTGGAAAGCTTTGCAGGTTTTCAGAGCATTTTGGACTTTGGAATCGAGGACTGGGCTTGGGACCTGTATCCCCTGCCCCTTAGGGTGGTTACAAGGTGAATGTGAGCTGGTGCGTGGCCAGCGGTCGCTCATACCTGGCTCCTAGCAAGTGCCCCGTAAATGTGTGTGTTGTTCATATGATTGAAAGAATGGGGCTAGGAGACGTTGCAAAGCACACTCACTCAGCCTGCAAGGATCACATGCCTGCTCTGTGCCAAGTCCTGGGAACATAGCAAAACAGACAGAAATCCTCCTGGGGCTTCCCTTCCCATCCCTCCCTCAGTAGGGCAGAGGTGTGGTCGGCTGAATGCCAGCAGGTGCTGTGGGTATGAGAAGGGAAGGGACAGCTCCGAGGACAGGGTGGGCACAGTTGGTTCTCAGAAGTCCGGTGTGTGCTTAGCTTTGAGGCCCAGGGTGGGATTGGAGAAGGCAATGCTCGGGGTGGGCAGGCCAGGCTGAGGTTTCCAAGCAGGACTTTAGGCCACCAGCCTCACACACCGTTCCTTCCCTGACCCCTCCAGGCTGCCAAGCTAAAGGCCAGACTGACCCTGATGGAAGGGTGGCTGCAGGGGTCAAACTGTGGCAGGCCCTGGGGACCACTGGACATTCTACAGGGAGAGGCCCCACGGGGGGACGTCTACCAGGGCCACCCCCTGCTGCAAGGTACAGTGGGAGAGCAGAGTGGGAGACTGGGAGTCAAGGGGAGGGGGCTGGCTGGTCAGATGCCCCCTTTGGAGCCCTTCAGTCTGACCTCAGTTGAGTTCACCCCTAGGAGAACTCACTTGCTGGGAGAGCCTGTCAGACCTCCCCAACTAAGTGAGTTCCTCCTGCTACGCAGTCCTGTCATCCCACGGACCTCTCTTTCAATATCCCTCACCCAGTTGTATTTTGTAGCTTTATTAATATCAACCTCTGACTACAGCCTCGGTCCCCATGCCCCCTGCGCCACCTAGACTGCACCCATAAGCTCAGTGAGGACAGGGGGTGGGTTTATTCGTTGAGTCAGTCACTCAACAAATAATCATTGGGGCGCTGTCCCAGGTGCTGAACAGGTAAAGTTCCTGCCGTCTTTGACTCTTGGCCGTTTTGCTCACTGCTGTATCCCCAGCATAGAAAATAAATGGGTAAATAAGAAAAAAGATTGTCATTAAGTCCACGTGGAATTTGTCCCTGGAACACTGAAATTTAGGAGAATCAAACGTGAATTGCTTATTGTGTTAAATTTCGCGTTCACAAGCACCTGTACTCCTGTAGCAGCCGTAGGTGAGCTGAGCACCTGTTTGCAAGACTAACAAAATAGGGAGCTGTCAGATGCTGTGCATTGAAACTCCCACACTGAGCCACGCTGCGAATTACAGAGCTGACTCAAGGCGGGTTTTACTGCTGTCTCAGGTTCAGGAATTGTTTGCTGTGGATCTAGAAGGCCTGGATTCCTTCCAGTCCTTCCTGTGTGGCTGACTTTCTGTGTGGGGGACCTTGGGTCATGATTTGCCATCTCTGGGCCTCAGCCTTCGCATCTGTAAAATGGGGAGGCCTTTCCTTTGGAACCAGTGCTGAGGCCTGGTGATGGAGTCAAGCTGTGCCCAGGAGGAGTAGAGGACACAGATGGGGCCCCTTGAAGTTGCAGGCTTTATTGTGAAATCTCGAGTGCTCTGTGACTCCTGGACTCTGGGCTTTCTGCAGGGGCCCAGGAAGACTTCCTGGAGCAGGTGACAGGCCTTGAGGGTGCTGTGAAGGCTGCCCAGGAGCAGCTGCAGGCACTGAGCAGGAAAGCCCACTGTGCCCAGGCCAGAGCTGAGAAGACCTGCGTCCAGCTGGCAGACCTAGAGGCGGTGCTGGAGTCCTCAGAAGAGGAGATTCTGCATGCAGCCACCATCCTTGCATCTCTGGTACCCCAGGGGACCCGTCCCCAACTCCTCCCCTCTACTGAGCCTGGGGCATGCCCCCGCCCCCTGCTTTGGGAGGCTCAGTTTTCTCATCTGCAAAATAGTGGTCACACAGTGCCTCCTCTGCCGATTCAGTGAGATAATATTTGCAAAGAACGAGCCGTATTCCAAATAGACAGTGAATGCCCAGCAAGTGGTAGGCGTCGTTATTGTTATTTCCAAGCTCTAGGGCTCCGCCCACTGGATGCTGACTCTGTAGCTGGCTCTGAGCGTTTATGAAATAAGTGGCATGGCCCAGGTCTGCCCAACAAGTTAGCCAGATGTGGGCCCTGCCCTTCAGGGATGGACCATCAGTTTCCTCCTATTTCTCTCTCTTCTCTAAAGGCGATTCCTCAGGAAGGGCTCGGCCAGCCCACCAGCTGGAGCCGTCTGGCCATAGAGGCCCGTGCCCTCGCCAGGAGGTGAGCCCCCATGCCCTGGGAGCATGGTGAGGTCCTGGCCACACAACCATGAAGGGAGCCCAGCCCTTCTGCTGGGGGCTTCCAGGGTCAGGGCCAGCCCCATAGGTATCCCCACCCCGGGAGTTGGAATCACTTGAGTACAGAGCTGAAGTGTCATCGCCATGCGAAGGAGAGGTGTGCAAGGATGGCATGAGATGCAGGGGTCGGGGTGGGGGTCTGCCGACACTGGTCGCCTGAAGGCATCTGAGAGCCTTCACTGGCTTTTTTTTTTATAACAGCTTTACTGAGATATAATTCACATGCCCTGCAAGTCAACCAGTTCAAGTACAGTTCAGTGGTTTTCAGTGTATTCACAGAATCGTGCAACCATCTCCGCAGTCAGTTTTAGAACAGTTTCCTTACCCCAGAAACAGGTACCCATTAGGCATCGCTCCCCATTCCTCTTCACCCTCCTCAGCCCCTGGTAACCACTAATCTACTTTCCATCTCTATAGATTTGCCAATCTGGACGTTTCATATAAATGGAATCATACACATGGTCTTTTGTATCTGGCTTCTTTCATACAGCAAAATATTTTCAAGGTTCATGCCTATTGTACCATATATCAGTACTTCATTCTTTTTTACAACTCCATAATGTTCCATTGTACCAATATGCCACATTTTGTTTATCCAGTCATCCGTCGATGGACATTTGGGTTGTTTCATCCACTGCTTTTAAGAAGCAGCTTCAGATTCTAAAGACACAAGCTCTGAAGCAATTTGTCCCTTTAGCTGTACTTTAGGGACTGTAGACCCATTTTACAGATGAGAAAAGAGACTCAGAGAAGTAAAGTGACTTGCTTAAGGACACGGGGTTAGAAGTGATAGAGCCAGAATCAAACCCAGGCTGTCTCTTCTGTGCTCTCTTTATTAGGGTAACCATATAATTTATTGTCCAAGCTGAGATTTTATGTGTGATCAAAGGCCCTATTATTTATTATGCCAGGACAACAGGCATAAACCCTATATAACAGGAGCAGGGGCACGGGTCCCCTTCCCATCAGTCTTCACTGTGCGTCAGGCAGAGGGAGGACAGGAGCCTGGTACCCGTGGCTGTACTCCCTTTGGGACGGCAAGAGGCCCATGTGGTGGCGGGGGGTGGGGGGTGGGCCCGGGCCCCCTCTGTGTCAGCCCCTGGTGATGGTCGGGCGGGTATTGTCACACAGTCACAGGGACACCACCACCAGGATTGAGGCCACTGCTCGGAGGGCCCTGCTCACCTCCAACAGCAGTTATGCGCTTCTCTGGAGTCTGGTGGAGGGGAGAACAGCCCTGGAGGCCCAGCAGGAGCTAGAGGACAGGTGAGGAGACCTCCCAGGTGTGGGTAGGAACTTGGGTTGGCTTCCTGAAGCCGGCAGGGCCTGGTCAGAGGCCGCTGGTTCCAGAACCGGCTTCCTTCCCTGAGTCCCGATGTTCTTTAGGGTGGGGTGTGATGCCTAGGGTCTTAGGCCTGCTTGGGGGTGCGTTAGAGGAACCCACTCACGCCAGGGTGCAGCTTAGCCTCTGGAGAGAAGGAATGAGAACCTAAACAAGGAGGCCCCAGATCTGTTCCTCCTCGGCCCCCTGAAGCTCCCCTGCCCCTCCCCAGACCCCTGGGGAGCTCCTGTCAGGCACCAGCTTTCTTCTTGGCCTCTGCTTCTCTGCTGTGGGTGGCCCCCTTGTATCCAGCTCATTCAGAGGGTCAACGGAGACCCACAAACGTCTCACTGAGCCCAAGTGGATTTCCTAGATGAGAGAATCTGACTGGCCCAGCTTGGGTCAGGTGGCCAGTCCTGAGCCAATCGGTATGGCTGGGTGGATCACATGACCCACTCCCAGGGGCGGGGGGGCTGGCTTTCTGTAAAGGGATGAGGGATGGGAGGCACCCTGGGGACGGGGGGTGGTCCAGCAGTACCCATGGTAGGGGGAGCTGGGTGGGGCAGGGTGTGGACAGCTGGACAGGAAAGCTGTCCTGGTTGATTGATTACAGCATTTCAGGGAGAAAGGGCCCCAGAACAGTCGTACAGCCCAGAGGTCTCCATTTACCTGGAGAGCAACATGCCCAAGGTCACTCAGGGGCATCAGGGCCTGGGCCACTATCCCTCCAACAACACCAGGCATTTTCCTCTTCATCATTCATCCAGAGGAGCCAAACATTTGCAAAACATGTGATTCTCAAGTGGAAACCAAGCAGGAGCTCCTTCAGAAAAGCGTGATTGAATTCAGTGAATGAGGAAACAAGAATGCAGTCCCTCGGCTGCCTTCCCCATTCATTAGACAGCTGCCGAGCAGCCAGTTTCCGAGGCCAGCTGCTGGGTACCAACTCCGCAGACGGCAGTTCTGCCCGGGAAGTCGCCAGAGCCCCTTCAACCGGGAGCTCCACTGGGGGGCTGGGACAGCAATGGGGAGGGATGGCCTGCGTCCTGCTCCTGGGCCATCCTGCCTCTGTCTCCTCCCAGGTACCAGGAGGTACATGCGGCCCAGAGGGCGCTGGGCACGGCTGTGGCAGAGGTGCTGCCTGAAGCTGAGAGGGTGCTGGCCGCCGTGCAGCAAGTCGGCGCAGATGCAGCCCAGCGCCTGGCCTCACCGGCTGCCCCTGCAGCACCGGTCAGCTCAGCTGTCCTTGACGCTCTGCATGCGGTGGTTGTGAGGGAGAATGTGGCAGCTGGGAAACCAGTGTGGCCCAGGCAGAGGCAGAGGACGTGGCTTATTTCTAACTCTCTAGCAGTTGATTTAAAGATCTCAGCCAATCTTTGTTGTTGATTATAATGATAATATCAAGGCCGAGGCCTCTTCTTCATCATAGTGGCATTGGCAATGACACCAGACGGACATGGGGCCAAATCCCAGCTCCGCCACTCTAGCTCTGTGACCTTGGCAAAGGACTTCCCATCCCTATGCCTCGGTTACTTTGTCCGTCTGTCGGCTAGAGCTCACCCATTTGGTTATTTCAGGCCTGCATCCATGAGGGGCTGGAGGGGATTCGTGAGCAATGCCCTCATCCTCTATGTGCCTGTCACCCTATGCTGTTTACCTCTGGATAAATCAGCTCATCAGGCCTTCTCAGTAATCCTGAAATTCCAAAACTTGGGAGCTAAACTTTAAAAAAAAAGACTAAACTTATAGAAATGCATCTGGGGCCCAGCCTGCCCAGGACTGACGGCTCCCAGGCTGTTTACTCAGGATGTTTGATCCTCCCACTGTGTGTGAAGAAGGAAAATGTAGGTGGTGACATGTTTGGCCCTGAGCACTGCCCCAGATACTGCTGAGGGCGTTAGGTAATAAGAAGTCCCCGCAGGAAATTCTGAGTTCAGAAGTACGTCCGGCCCCAAGGTTTCAGCTAAGGGATTGTGAGCCTGGGGAAGGAAACACAGGTCCGGGAGGTTAGCTGAGTCTGCGCTTCTAGAAATTGCTGGTGCTAGAATCAGACCTCAGGTGAAGCTTCCCCAGTCTGGCTTCTCTCGCCCTGGCCCCTCTGCTTCTTAGGGTCCACGTGCAGCCCTGCCCCCCACGGTCCCTGCCCCTGGGCTTCTCCCACCCAGTAGAGGACCTGCCCCTCGGACCTTCCCATCAGGCCTTGTCTGAGCCCTCCATCTCCCGGCAGCCTCAGAAGTCCCAGGCCAGGACCCTGGGCCTGAAGGTGCAGGCCCTGGAGAAGACGGTCACATCGAGAGAGCGCGTGGTCACCGAGGCTGCCCAGGCCCTCCAGGCCACCGCCCAGGCCGTGCTGCACAAGACAGAACCCCTTACGCAGGTGGGCTCTTGTCCTTTGAGGCAGCACCTGGAGAAAGTTGGGGCTGCCCCAGGCATGATCTGGGCTCAGGGGTTGCAGGGGGAGGGAAGGGCAAAGACCAGAAGTAGTTCTTTCCACCCCTCCAGTGCCTTCCCCCAAATTCCAGAGAACCTCAGTTAGCTCGTGCCAAGGCAGGAGGTCCTGATTTCCCGAGAAGGAGTAAAGGTGTGAGAGGAGGCAGGATGGACAGACAGACAGAGCCACGCCCACCACCCTTACTCAGTGTTAATTACAGCTGGGATGGGTCTCATTCACTTATTCTTGCATTCATTAGTTCACTTGCCAGATATTTTAGCGAGCACATACGTTGCTCTAGTGCTAAACCCCACTGTTTGGCATTTACAACCCAGGAGGGGAGGCAAGACTAAATAATCAGGGAATTCAAGAATCATGGAGTGAATTGAGCCCCAACCAGTGGTTTCCAACCTATTAAAGTATAAGCACCCCTTCAAGTGTGTTTTTTTTTTTAACTTTCCATCTTTCATCTAGACTTAGAAAAAGGTTGCGAAGAAAGCACAAAGAAGTCCCATATACCCTTCACGCAGATTCTCCTTCTGTTAATGTTTTACCCAGCCACCTTACAAGGATCAAAATAAGGAAATCAACATGATATAATACAATGAGCTAATCTACAGACCTTTTTCAAATCCCAGCAGTGGCTTATCCCGTAGCCATCTTTTTTTTGCAGGGGGTGGGGGGGCACGGAAGACCTTAGTTCCCTGACCAAGGATCAAACCCGTGCCCCGTACAGTGGAAGAGCAGAGTCTTAACCGCTGGACTGCCAGGGAAGTCCCCTGTATCCATCTTAATTTTCCTCTTAAAGACAAGAAACAAGGCAGAAAGCTGTTGCCTGCATCCGAACAGCTGGGCCTGGTGCCTGTCACATACTGGGAGACCTGTGCTGTGTCAGGGCTCCCTGGGGTGGTACCCATTGATTTAGTCCATCACCCTGGTCTGGGGCACAGATGAGGCCACAGCAGAGTCAGGACCAGCCCCTAGTGCGCAGTGCCCCAACACAGTGCCTCCCACCTTCCTCTCCCATCCTGCTAGGCATTTGGAGTAAGACTTAAGACACAAGGGATCCCAGGGCAGCATCTGGTGGCTCTTCGAACCCACATGATTGCGACTTCCCTGGCGGTCCAGTAGTTAAGACTTCTCCTTCCAATGCAGGGCATGCAGGTTCCATCCCTGATCGAGGAGGTAAGATCCCACATGCCTCACAGCCAAAAAACCCGAAGTATAAAACAGAAGGAGTATTGTGACAAATTCAATAAAGACTTTACCAAAAAAATATTTTTAGACCCCGCATGACTGCTGATGGATTGAAATTCACATCACATAAAATTACCCGTTTGAAAGTGTACAACACAGTGGCATTTAGCACATTCCCAGTGTTGTGCAATCACCACCTCTGTCTAGTTCCAAAACATTCATCACCCCAAAGGGCGACTGGTTATACCCATTAAGCTCTTCATTCCTCCCTCCCCCCAGCCCCCTGCTTTCTGTCTCTATGGATTTTCCTATTTCAGACATTTCATATAAATGGAATTGTGCCATATGTGACCTTTTGTGTCTGGCTGCTTTCACTTACCATAATATTTTCTAGGTTCATCCACATTGTAGTATATATCAGCACTTCGTTCCCTTTCGTGACTGAATAATATTCCATTCTGTGGCTACACCACATTTTGTGTATCTCTTCATCCATCAAACCCGTATTCTTTAAGTATCCAGCCTTTTTTTAGTGGCAACGGGGAAGAAACTAATTTTCTATGAGTAAAAGTTGTCTAATAAACAGATTCTCTACTTCACATCCTCTGGCTGAGACGCAGCAGCATTCTGACAAGAAATTTTCAGTTGTCCATCTTTCTTTTAGTTCTTAGGTTCCAGTTTTCCTCGGAGCTTTGGTGAGACAGGTAACTTCTTGGGAGAGATATTCAAGGTTTAATATTGGTATAATAAAACAGATCAGATGTTCCTGGTAAACAGCATAATTCAGTGTCAGAGTTTTGGTGATGTTTTGGGACCTTGTACATGTGGGTTTGGTGCCCACCTGACCCCTCTCTGCCCAGCACACCTCCAGCATCACCTAACCAGACTCTCTCTTCTCTCTCCAGCTGCACCGGGAAGCCAGAGCTGCTCTGACCCGGGCTTCCTCATCTGTCCGGGCTGCCATGGTGACTGTCACAGGAGCCAGGACTCTGCTGGCTGACCTAGAAGGTATGTGTGCCCTGCTTAGCCCCAGGCTCATGGATGCACAGATGTCCATGACAGACACCAGGGCAGGCTTGGCTGCAGAGGACAGAAGTCCAGTCATGTGGGCATAAGCCAAGGAAACCATTCCCTCTGCCTCTAAGGACCTCCGTCTCCTGTGGCTGCTTTGTCCCTCCCCATCTCACATGCCACTCACCAGGTTCTTGCCTACGTGGCCATCCATCATCAGACCACACGCGCAGAGCCCCTCAGGACCAGATGGGAAGAGAATCTGGTGCCATCAGCTGTCCATCCCTGATCTAGGCCACTCTGGCTGGGAGTCTGGTTACCTGGTACCAATATGGCTGCCCTGGTCCAATGTCCAGTGGGGCTATGGGAAGGGATGCAGCGTTTCTCTTTAGAACGTGGGTTGATGGGTTGATGCCAGTACTGGTCTCTTTTGAGCTGTAGGAAAATGAGGCCAAGTGCCCCCATTTTACAGTTGGGTAGACCAAGAAAGGAGATTTTACTGAATGAAATGTGGAACAGCCCCTAGCCTGCAGCTGCTCTGCCAAGAGAGGATCTGTGTTCAAATAAGTTTAGGAAATGTCACGTGCTATAGATCCCCCTGAGGCCTTGCAGTGCACACCTGAGAATATTAAAGGCTCTGAGAAGTCCTTCAATAAAGAAACCGGGTTCACTTTATGTAAACTTAATTTCCCCTAGCATTTATCAACACCCTGTAGAATTAGGGCTTCCCAGTGTGCACTTTTTTTGGCTGTGTTGGGTCTTTGTTGCTGCGCACGGGCTTTCTCTAGTCGTGGCGAGTGGGGGCTGCTCTTTGTTGCGGTGCGCAGCTTTTCACTGCAGTGGCTTCTCTTGTTTCAGAGCACGGGCTCTAGAGCTCAGGCTCAGTAGTTGTGGCGCACGGGCTTAGTTGCTCTGCGGCATGTGGAATCTTCCTGGACCAGGACTCGAACCTGTGTCCCCTGCACTGGCAGGCGGATTCTTAACCACTGTGCCACCAGGGAAGTCCCCCCAGAGTGCACTTTAAGAAATGCCAATTTTGTGTACAGGAAGTAAAGTAGATCTAACTTTTGGATTATCTTCATAGAATGGTTATGTAGTATTATGTCCCTGGATATTAGAAGGCTTGATTCTTTTTTTAAAAAAATATTTATTTATTTGCTGCATCGGGTCTTGGTTGCAGCCCACGGGATCTTTCGTTGCGATGCGTGGGCTTAGTTGCCCCACGGCATGTGGGATCTTAGTTCCCCGCCCAGGGATCGAACCCACGTCCCCTACACTGGAAGGTGGATTCTTAACCACTGGATCACCAGGGAAGTCCCCTTGATTCTTTTTAAATTTTGACTTTGTCTACTATAATCAGTACTCCTTAGGATAAATTTCCCTTAGAATTTTATCTGAAAGGAAATGAAAAAGTCTCTCTTTCTATATAGAAGGAAACTACTTCTTATTAGATAATAAAAACCTATGCGAATTGTAGAGTTTCTCTTTTTGTCTTGGCTGCTAGGGGCTAAAAGGTAAATAGTGCATTTGGTACCTGCACCGTCATTACCCTAATTTTCTGGCACTTCTCACCTTTCATCATCCCTCTAGTTACATATGGCCTTTGGTGTATCATTTTAATGGTCCAGTTTTTGGTCTGTTCATCACGATAAGCTGCCTCAAAGCCTGTTTAGAAATGCGTGGTATGTAAAAAACAAAGAACTTAATGGATCTCGCTGTGTACTGTGGTATAGCTCCCATCTCTACCACTGGCCCAGGTATTGACCACCATGCAATTCTGTGACTTTAGTAAGTATCGTAATATAACATGAATCTTTACACTCACAGGGCAGTACGTCTCACTCATTTGTTTTCCCTGGGTGAGCCTGAGAAGTTTACACACAGATCTCGTGCATCTCATACCTCTGCTCACGTTGTCCAAGGGTCTGGGGTTGGTCAGACATCTGGCAGTGACCACCCAATGGGCTCTCCAGGCATGAGCCCAGCCCTCCTGACACAGCCTCGGTTGGCTTTACAGGAATGAAGCCAAGGTTTCCTCGGCCCAAGGACCAGGCCGCACTGAGGAGGCAGGCAGCCATCGTCCAGGACAGGCTCCTTGCAGAGTCCAAAAAGAAGACCAAGCAGGTGGAGAGGATGCTGGGAAATGCGGCATCTATCTCCTCCAGTGCCAAGAAGAAGGGCAGGGAAGCCGAGCTGTTGGCCAAGGACAGTGCCAAGGTCAGGGCCACGGATGTGACTCCAGGGGCATCCCTGCCTTCTGGGCGTGTGGGAGGCCTGTCATAGAAGAGGTGCCCTTCTGTAGGGTAAATGCCCCTTCTGTATGCAACGCAGAATACTCTGCACTTACTAAGGGGTCCCAGGCTCTGAGCTCTGGAGCTTCACGCGGGCGACCCTGTTGATTCCGCATGAAATAGATGTCACTGCTGTCCCCATGGGACAGGTGAGGACCCTGACGCCCAGCCCAGTTCAGTAACTTAACATAACCAGGACTCACACCTCGGTCTGTTTGGCTCTACTCCCTAAACTTCTAGACTTTTCTTGTTTAATTCGGGCCAAATTTGAATCAATAGGCGTCTTCCCAGCACCGTCACTCAGGGCCCAAGTGAACTGCCTCTACAGCTCCCTAGAGACAGTGCTGGATTGAAGGAGTCCCCAGGCTTGGTTTCTGGTCCCGCCATTTTGATTTTGGCCAGCTCCTCCTCTCTGCACCTCTGTTTCCCCATCTGTAAATTATTGGAATTTCTCCTCTCGGGGGAGATGGGTAGTGTCCAGCAATCTGCACTTTGCCGGCATCTGGTACACAGCTGTTGAGTGAATGAATGAATGATCTGGTGCATGAATCTATGACCGCTGGGCAGGGCGGTCACCCTTTACCTCTAAAAGGAGTTTCTCCACTCACACTCCCCTCCCTGCTGCTGCCACCCACCCCGTACGTAGCTCGCCAAGGCCTTGCTGAGGGAGGGGAAGCAAGAGCACCGCCGGGCTGGCCGGCTCTCCAGCCAGACGCAGTCGATGCTCCAACAGGCCTCCCAGCAGGTGCTGGCCTCAGAAGCACGCAGACAGCAGCTAGAAGCAACTGATCAGGTACGTGTGCTGAGACCCCAGCACTCCTTCTCCTGTGGTCCCGGGAGCCAGCCAGGAGCCGCTCAAGCTTTTCTTCCCCTCCCCCCCCAAAAGGTGGGTGCCGGGCTGAGCGAGATGGAGAAGCAGATCCGGGAATCACGCACCTCTCTGGAGAAGGACATCAAAGCCTTGTCGGAGCTGCTTGCCAGGCTGGGTAAGGAGATCCCAAGACCGGGCCCTGGCCCCCTGGGTCCACGGTGCATCTCCAGGATCTTCCTGGGAGGCCCCGTCCTGGGGAAGCTTGCCTCCTAGCCCTCCTGTCCGTGGCTCCCCCTATCCCGAGCCTTGTGCTCAACGACAAGCGTTTGTAACCGCTCCAGGCCCCCCGGGGCGAGGCAGGGATGGTGTCCAGAAGCATGCTCACTTCGTCCTCCAGGGGCTGCTAGTCAGGAGGAGAGGAGAGACACAGAACGCTCACCACCCACAGAACACCTGTAGGTACCAGGTGACTAGGTCCTCCCTCAGTGGTGGAGGGTTTCAGAGAAGGAGAGAGGATGTCACAGAAGCAAGTCTGGCATCGAGGATCAGGTGCTGGTTTGGAATCAGAGAGACTGGCATTCAAGTCTGGCATTTTCCCTTCCTTGGCTGTGAGACCTTGGGAAAATCACTCCACCTCTCTGAGCCTCAGTTCCCCCACCCGGGAAATGGGAGTAACAGTGGGGTAGTTTCGAGAGTGCTTTCCACACTGTGTGTGATGAGACAGTAAATCGTGAAAGGGACAGCCCCCAAGACGTGGAGCCCTCAGAGCAGGGGCGAAGGGACAGTGTCAGAGCAGTTAGGCTGAAATGAACAAGCAGTTTTAAAAGTTGGGGTAAAATACGCAAAACATAAAATTTGCCATTTTAGCCACCTTTCAGCGCACAGTTCAATGGCATTAGGCACAACCTCCACCTTATTGTACAGCCGTCGCCACCATCCATCTCCAGAACTTTCTCATCAGCCCAACATGAAACCCGCCCCCGTTATACACAGACTCCCCATTCCTCCCTCCCCCAGCCCCTGGCAAGCCCTGTTCTACTTTCTGTCTCTGTGAATTTGGTACTGTAGGCACCTCACCTAAGTGGAATCATATAGTGTATATACTTTTGTTACCGGCTTATTTCGCTTAGTGTAACGTCCTCAAGGTTCATCCATGTAACAGCATGCATTTCGGTTACCATGATCGATAAGACAAGGAAGAATCACCAGGTTCTGCATTTTGGCTGGATGCCAGGCGCCACTAAGCTGTTCACACACACGATCGTGTCTCATTTTAACTTTCGAGGCAAGGATCCCTGTGCTCTTGCTATTCTGCAGATAAAGAGATTAAGGCACAGAGAATTTAAATGATGCGCCCAGGGTCCCCCAGCCAGTCAGTGGGGAGGCTGCGGATCACGCTCAGGTCTGACCGATTCAGAGCGCCCGCTCGTAGCCACAGGTCTATACCCGCAAGAACTCAGCTCACTGGACACGATGCCCAGCATGAAACAAACGCTCTGTGTGGGTAAACCACTCTGGCCGTTGTTGTTGTCATTTATTCTTTCACATCGGCACTATGCTTGACTCGGGGGTGCGGGAGCGACCACGCACAACTAGACCCTGTCCCCGCCCCAGGAGACCCAGCTGGGCAGTTAGAGTGGAGGCTGTAACCTCCTCAAAGGCCAGGCTGTTTGGACTTTCCCGTGGATGGTGGGACCTCTCCGAGTCTTGGCTGGGAGCAGGGCCTGCCCGGCAGCAGGGCTCAGCTTCTCTCTGCTTCTTCCTGCCCCGGGGCTCAGCTCTTGCAGTCGCCTGTCCTCCAAACCAGCCTTCATTGCCCAGGAAACTCAGGGCCATGGGGAGCCCTGGGGCCCAGGGGGGTCCTGTGGGATTCGAAGGCATTGAGGATTTGTTTCTGTGACTCCAGCACTCTCCCACCTGGCTCAGCTGTCTTTCCATTGAATGCCACCTTAATGACAAGGTGACAAAGGCCAGGTGGGGGAGACAGCCCGTGGATTCCGTGCCACCATCACCAAGTTCATATGTGAGCACCCGGCCCCACCCCCTCGTTTTACACTTGGAGAGGCTCCTCCAGGAAGTCCTAATGTGTGCTGGGCCAGGACTAGACCCCTGCTGCCTGCTGCCCAGGCCTGCAGCCCCTCCTGCCCCGTCTGCCTCACCCACCCTCATCCTGATGCCAGAAACCTTTCTTTTCACCCTGATGTCCCCGCATCCTGGCCCACAAGTGCCATCTGTAAGCGTGGGCTCTCAGTGAATTGAAACAGTGTGTGGGAGCAGCAGGCATTATGGGGCCTCTCCCACTCACACTGCTTTACAGATGAGGAAACTGGGGCTCAGGACTCACCCAAGGCCTTCATTTTTCAACAGTAATAGTAATACCAACAACAAAAATTAACAGTTGCCCAGTGCCACCCAGGGGGAAAGTTCCGGGGTCTGCACATAAGCCCGGTGGGGTGCCCAGGCCAGGCCCTTACCTGCCTCACCACGCCGCCCTCTCGGTCCCTTGCCTCCTGGTAGATCGTGGGCACTCGGAAACCTGGAGGGTTTGGGCTGGGGAGGGCTTCTGGGGATGGGGCCTGAACAGGCTTCTGGGGCCTGCAGGGGAGCCAGCCCACCCTGAGGCTGTCCGTGCCTCTCCACAGGGTCACTGGACACCCTCGGAGCCCCCGCCCGGGCCCTGAATGAGACCCAGCGGGCACTGGAGCGCCTGAGGCTGCAACTGGGCCCACCAGGGGTGCTGCAAGGGAAACTGAGGCTCTTGGAGCAGGAGTCTGAACAGCAGCAGCTGCAGATCCAGAGCTTCGAGAGCAACCTTGCTGAGATCCGTGCTGACAAGCAGAATCTGGAGGCCATTTTGCATAGCCTGCCAGACAGCTGTGCCAGCTGGCAGTGAGGGCTGCCCGGACCCATGGTGCCCCCGGCCCAGGGCATGCACGCCCGCCACAGGTGCGCCATGCAGGCACACTGCCCAGATCCTGCTGCCGCGTACCCTCCCGAGTCTGTGCCTACACCCCCTCCACACCGGCAGGAGTGAGTGTGCATTCAGAGCTCACCCAGGCGGCTATGGTGTGCACACACCCATCGGTGTGCTCTCCCACCCCATACACACACACACACATGCACAGGTACATGTGGACATGTGCCCGTGTGTGCACTGCACACGTGTGCAAGTCCATCCATGTGTGGTGCCCCCCTCTGGATGCTGGGGCTGTTTGTTATGTTATATTATGTTATGTTATGTTATGTTAAATGCCCTGTGACACTGACATACTCAGGCAGGGTTGGTACCTGGGAGGCTGGGACCGGGCAGGGTCGGGGGGTCATCCGCAGAGATCCAGGGCGGGTTCAGCAAGAGCCAGAGCTCCTAGTCCCAGCCCTGCCCTCTGTCCTGCAGCCCCCTGACCAGTGTGTCACCCGCCACGAACACCCAGCAGCTCTGCATAGCTGAGGGAGCAGGCAGGTCAAAAGACACAGGATTCTGGGGGGTTCTCAGCAGAGGAACCTGAGGCCCAGGGCTCCTGGGGCCGTGGTGCAGCCTGCTAGGCCGGCCGGGCCGTGGCCCACCCATGCAGGGGTATCTTTGGCTTTGTGGAATACTTCCTTCTCAAGATCCTGGGACTGGGTCAGACTCAATGAAGGAATCACCTGCCCCAGGCCCAGTACCCCTTTTGGGCCATGGCCTCGTGACCTGAGGGGGCCTGGGTCAGGGGGCTCAGACAGGTCGCTTGGATCTTCCCTTTGTGACCCTGCCAACCCTGGCTGGCCTTTGACCGATCGACACTTCCCAAACTGGCCCTGCGGCCCTGGGGCCCCATCTGCCACATGGGAGGCCCTGCTGGGCGTGGAGGCCTGGCTGCCTTTCTAACCTGTCAGGCTAGGGTCTCCCCCTGTGGCTAGGCCCTGCCCAGGGTTCCCGGCATCTCCTCCTGGCACTCCTCCCCTTTCCCGGGCCCTCTTCCAGCAGACTGCGGGGCCTTGGCACTGGGAGGATGGGTGCCTCGGGGGGCCCAGCCCCTTCCCAGCGTTCTTCCTGCCCCCCAGCAGGGGTGACAGGCAGCAGCCCAGACCATTTCTGTTTAACCAACTCTGTTTAACGTGGCAATAAAGGACCCCTTTACTAGCTGGTGGTGTGCCTTTGGTCCTCTGGTGCTGGTCGGCAGCAGGATCCCCGGTGTGGGTGCAGACTCACTGCCTGGCTGTGGGTGCACATCCCCCCCAACCAGTGAGTCAGCGGCAGAGGGTTCAGTGATTCTTCTTGGCCCCCATGAGGTAGAAGGAAGGTGACAAAGCTGAGCCCATCGGCTTTGCCAGTGTCCTCCCACTGGGGGGGCTCTGCTGGGGTCCTGCAACCCCAAGCATCTACCCTGTCCTCTCTGCTCCAGGGGGCTTATTAGGCAAAGTCTAGGGCCTGGGGGAGTTTGAGGGGTGGGGTACAGAGAGGTCCTCAGGTGACCTCTGGCTCAGGCTGGAGACACCGAGGCAGGAAAGGAACTCAAAACCAGTGTCCAGCAGCGCAGAAAGGCTCAGGGAGGGACACCAGTGAGGAGAGGAGGAGGGCTTTGGGCCAGGCCTCAAAGGGTGGGGAGACAGCGGGGAACATTCCAGGCAAGAGGGTGGGCAACAGCGCAGCATTTGCAGGGTAGGGGCCTGGCCCGCACGGGTCACTCCAGGAACTCAGGTCGCGGGCGGGATTATGGCACATGCTCAGTCAGGGCTCTTGACCACGAGGCCTGCCCCCCTCCCGGGTTGGTTTAAGCAGAAAAGGGGAGTTCGTTGGGAGGACTTGGGAGAGTCTCCTGGAATCCTGGGGTAGGAAGGGCTGCCAAGGCTCAGAGATGGTCAGGGGCCGGGGGCTTGCCTCTCCCTTCCCTCCCGCCCCTCCCCTTGGTCTCTGCCTCTGCTCTCTCTGCGTTTACTTTGTTTTCTTCTCTCTGCAGAGCAGCTTTCTTTGCTTTTCTTGTGCTTGATGGAAGAGAATGTCCCCACTGCCCCCACCTGGACCCACCATGGCCCCCATGTTTACTTGTCATCAGGTCAAAAGCTTGGCAGAGACAAGCTGGAAAACTGACCTGATTCCAGCTTCCCAGGAGGGACCAACCCAGCTTAGGCCGGGTCCCCCCCCTACTCCTGTTCAGAAAATCAAGGGTCTCTGGGTCCAAGGCCATATAATGAGAGCTGGGCTGTGCCTTCCCCACCCCCGCAAACTCACTGGGGGAGAGTATTCAGAGAAGAGGTGCGCTCCTCCACGGAGAAACTGAAAACCGAGGCCAGGGGTAGGGGGGTGACGTGATGCACGTCAATGGCCCAGGCAGTAAGCTGGTAGGTTTGGGAGGGAGGACGGGGGTGGGGAGGCCAAAACAGGAGGTCGCTGCTCTATTGTGTTTGATGTCTGGTGTAAGTGGTGTCAAGGAGATGGGGGTGCTTTGCAGATCTCTGGGGCGGGGTCTGATGCCCCCAAACCCTCTTCCCTGTTACCCAGCTTCTCTGCTGACAGAGGCACACAGCTGTCCTGATGCCTGCTCTTGGCCTTAAACCTTTCTCTGCTCAAGCCGTGGGGGGCTCAGCAAGGCCCAGTCTCAGCATCCCCAATGGGTGGAGCACAGGCTTCCTCTCTGTTCCGCGGTGACATACCTCAGACCTGACATCTCGTGACTCACGCAGTCAAGTCGTGCTTCGGTTGTAGAGAGCCACTCTCTGGCCCCAGAGGTGGGGCTGGGGCTGGGTGGAAGGTGGCAGCTGCGAACATCTGGCTAGCAATGCAGCCCAGCAGCTGAGCAGTTGAAGATGGGGTGGCCTCTGCCCTGCAGAGCCAGTGACTGGGGCCAACCAGCCCAGGGCAACAGGCTCTCTGAGCCTGAACCAGGCTCAGAAGTGCATTATGAGGGTCCCATTCTATGTCAGCTGTCTTCTCTGACCTCCAGGCGGGACGTCTCCCAGCAGCCAAGGGTTCTAACTCCTATCTGCTTAGACCGCCCTGACGGTAATAAAACTTATAACAGCCCCTGCTGGGTGAAAAGCATTGTTTCCTCCGTTCCATTCTGCAGGACAGAAATGCCGGGTCCTGGTTCACAGAGGTTTGAGAATTAAATGATGTAACACATGTATCCTGGGTTGATCTGGCAAAGTGCCTGGTGCCCAGTGAGGGCTCAAGAAAAAAGGTTTTATTAACAAAACACTAATTCGTTCTCATTGATTTCAAGTGTCACTGATACCCTAGAGGCACTCTGTCATTATGCATTTTCTCAAGAAACTAAAAGTTTGTTCATCTTGCAAGAGTTCAGAGTAACGTTTGGGAACCTAGGCCTCCCTTCCGAAAGTGCGTGCTGCGCAAAAGGCGAAAGGCACGTTACAGCTCCCGGCAGCTGGGACCCGCATTTGATCTTTATAGCCATCCCACGAAGTGCGTACTAAGGTCGTCCACGGTCTGTTTGAGGGGAAACCGCGGCCCGGAGCGGGAAGGGACTGGTCGAGGTTCCTGCAGGAGCGGAGAGGGAGGTGCTCACAGGCGGCCCCCGCGCCGTGCATTTTCCGCGTCCTCCAGCAGAGGGGCCGGCGGCGGGCTCGGCGTCCAGCATAATAGCCGCTTTGATGCCGGGCGGCGGGGAGGGGAGGAGAGGGGAGGCGGGCCGGGAGGGGTGGGAGGGAGGGGAGTGTCCGGCCGCCCGCGCCATCCCTCCGCCCCTCGGTCCCACCGCCACACGCCGCGCGAGCTCGGACTAGGCGCCCGCCCCTCCTCCTCGTCCTCGCCGCGGTCGCGAAGCCCCGAGCCGGCGGAAGCCCGGTGCTCACCATGTCGGTCGCGCTCAGCAACAGGTTCCAAGGTAGGCGCCGCTGTCCCCACGCTGTCCCGCGCCCCTGCCCACACCCGGTGTCCCCCGCCCGCCACCTGTGCGCACGGGGCGGTCGGTGGGGTCTGCCGCGCGCGGGAAGCGGGCGCGAGCCGAGGGCGCGCGGCCCGGGGAGACCCCCGCTTCCCCGGCCGCCTCTTTGTCTCCTCCAGGAGGGAAAGCGTTCGGTTTGCTCAAAGCCCGGCAGGAGAGGAGGCTGGCCGAGATCAACCGGGTAAGCGCGCGCCGCCGCCTTCGCTTTTCCAGCCCCGCCGCCTCCGAGGGCAGCTGGCGAGTCGGCCCTAAAGCTCCCAGCGCTCCGCGGGTCCCACCTCCGTCTGCGCGGCTGTGCCTGCCGCAAAATCAACCCCCCTTCCTCTCCTTCACCCGGGCTTCCCCCGATTTCTTTCCTCCAGCCCCCTCCCTGTGCCTCCAGGTAGGTCCCCCTCCACCCCGTCCACCGCCCTCTGGTCTCGGGTTGCAAGTTGTTACTCATAGACTAGGGAGGTAGGGCCCTCCCGGGAGCTCTGATGCCAGCCCGGCCCACCGGCCCCGGGCTCCCCAGGAGCCAGCCTGGGACCAGCTGCAGGGACTTGGCGCTGGAAGGGACCCCTGATGTCTCGAGTAATTCCCAGTTTTACAGCGAGGGACGGAAGAGAGGCTCAGAGAGGTGAGGTGGCTGCCCCTAGATGGCACAGCAAGTCTGGGTCAGGCTGCAGTTAGAACCCTGGGCTCCAGACTCACAGGCCAGTGCTCTCTCCACCCAAAAAAAGGTTGGCCTCCTGCCTCTCCCCACCCCCCAACACACACACACACACACACACACACACACACACACACACAAAACTCCTTCTCACTCAGGCTTTTAGGAAAGGTTGCCTTAGAGACTTGGTGCTTTTCATCCTGATCCTAGTGGATTTCTAAAAAGAAATCCTTCCGGCTGTTGCCAGGCACACAATGGGACGTTTTAGACCTTTGCTTAAACACCATTTAAATGGGCTCCCCTGGTGGCGCAGTGGTTGAGAGTCCGCCTGCCGATGCAGGGCACACGGGTTCGTGCCCCCGGTCCGGGAGGATCCCACATGCCGCAGAGCGGCTGGGCCCGTGAGCCATGGCCGCTGAGCCTGCGCGTCCGGAGCCTGTGCTCCGCAACGGGAGAGGCTGCTACGGGAGAGGCCACAACAGTGAGAGGCCCGCATACCACAAAAAAACAAACAAACAAACAAAAAAAACCACCATTTAAATTCTAGAAGATAAGGAAAACTGTTAGGGCCTCTGCCTGGACTGGCCGAAACTCAAACGCAGCACAGCAAGACTGGGGCTCGGATCTGGTCTCCATTATGTACCAGCTCTGTGGTCCCCAGCGAGGACCTCTCATCACAGAGACCCTCATCGCAGGGTCTCCGTAACGGCTCCACGAGGGAAGGCATGTTACGTGATTGGTCCAGCATCTAGCACAAGAGAAGACCTCCATGGATGGTACTAGGATTACTTCTTGAGGAGGATGTCTCCAGGTTTCCTTCTAACTGCACAATCATGCCCACTGAAACAAGGCTGGACATTTCCCCTGCGGGCTCCCCCGGGCCACTGGGCACCCAGCTCAGAGTCCCAAAGTGGAAAGCTGGTGAGGGTCAGCAGGGTCCTGGTGGAGTCCATGTGGAGGTGGGTCCACGGGCGGCAGCACGGTTGTAGTATAACCCTCGACAGGGGCTTGCAGTCTTTATTCGCCCCTTGAGTTCCTTGGACTGCCTAGAGCTAGGCAGCCTGCCTGGTTTCATTCCACTGGCCGTAGGAATCCCATGGAGGGTTCTGGGGACCCCAGGGTCCCTCCAGGTAAACTCTGGCCTCCTCATCGCCATCCTTATCTGGCCTCTTAGTGCCATCTTGAGCGCAGCTGAAAGGGAGCCTGGGCGTCTGGCTGGGGCTCTCGGGGGTCCAGGCTGCTGGGCTCCCCCCCAGTTCATTCTGCGGCCAGCTCAGCCTTGGTCTTGGCTGCTTTGGCCCTCTGGACAGGAGCCTGGAACCCTGACCTCATACAGCCCCCTGGGCCACTCAGCAGGCTGGGTTCCAAGCCAGTTGAATCCACCCACAGCCAGAGGACCCCGAGCCAGAGACAGCTGGAGATGGGGGAGAGGGGATTGTAGTTGGACAGACCAGAGGAGCTGAGAGTGCGTGGGATTTTCCATGCCAACCCTGCCCTTGGGGGGATGGGGGGATTAGGTGGGGTGTGGAGGTGAGGCCACAGGGCTGTTTTGGGAGGTGTACTGGCTTGGCTCA